TTCAATAGTTGTCTTAATTATTACCATCAACTACCGTTAGCTGTGTGATCCATGTTTTAAGATGAATAGAAATGCTATGAATTATTACAGAATACGTTTCAAATGTAGCCTTAAAATATAATGACAAGTAGCATAGAGAGTAGTGAGTCAGTCACTTGGAGGTAGAACACTCGCCAACCACGGCATATGTGATCCGGCTTACTCACTCCTTTGCCCCACTAGCTGGTAGTAAGACTGGTGAAGAGAGAAGGTTGGGCACGAGGCTAGCAACGCCACTGCGTAATAATAAACACCACTGCTACCGAAGCTTCAAAGAGCTAGCTTGAAGCCCCTGTGTTCCATTGGGAACATAAAGGAATAAAGCAAAATAAACAAGACATAGCTAGTAGTGGAATTCAGAAATGAGCATTTCGTCCTATGTGAAACCCGTCATCTGTTTTTTCCATATGTCCTTCTGATATGATCGTTAATACACTTAGTAGTTTTTTTTCCTTCACGTTCTTAAGTGGAACATAGGGCTTCAAGCTAGTTGGCTTGAAGTTTCTGTAGCAGTGTTTATTTTACAGGATGGGGTTGCTAGCCCAACCTTTCCTCTTTACAAGAATTATTTCTGGCTCAGCGAGGTAAAGGAGTGTGTCGGCCAGGGATCGAACCCCGGACCATGTGCACGGTTGGTGAGCGTCCTAACTGCTATGCCACCGATGCATACACTTAGTAGTTACGCAAATGAATTTCCTATCTAGTCGATTGTTCCAACCAATATTAGCAACAACAACACGATGCGATACAACCAAAAGCGCGACGCAAGAAGACAAGAAGAGAAGCCTAACTGTTGACATAGGGAGCTTTGAATGTCTCGTAACAACAGCGAAAATGACTGATAGCGCTTGAGTATATATATACATATGTTTTGACGAGTTGATCATGGATTGATATCATGGTTAGAGAACCACTGAAAATCAGCACTGGAGTACTGAACAACCAGCTGTTTCACCCTAGTTTGGGAATCATCATCATCACCAGTGTTCGAACCCACGACCTCCCGCTTACAAAGCCAGCTCGTATACCATTCAGCCACTGGGACTCGATTCAATGACCAACACATGAAATCCAACTTCTACCAATTCGTGATTTAGCGCGACCACCAAACAATGTCTTCGGTGGGACATCCATCCTCACACTTGACTAGATGGACCTCACTGGTCACGACTTCTCACTAGAACTCCCGGGTTCGAACCCCTAATGGGTGAGTACTGCCGATGATTGCCAAACTAGGATGAAACAGCTGTCCAGTACTCCCTGATTTTCAATGGTTCTCTAACTGATATCAATCCGTGATCAACTTTTCAAAACAAATCTTATCCTTACAAACCAACTATTGAATATATATGTATATGTGCTTTAAATAACCCAGAGAGACACTAACGACATTGATAAATTAAAACAGTCAACAACCAATAGGAATCAAAGGTGGGAGAGATACAAACAGATGTGTAAAAAGAACATGTAGAAAATCAGGTCTACATATCACCTTCTGTGATGATAGCGTTTCTTATGGGATTCGAACTTGTAACCGATTGTTTCAAACAGTATTTCGCTCAAAATATATAACATATAAAGTTAAGTGTTTATCTACTTCATTTAGTTAATACTGTACCCGATTCAATAGTGATTATTTATATACAATATACACTGTACACTAAATCCATTTTGGTTTCACTATTCCCATATTTTAGTTCCATTCTCTGAACTGCTTACTATACTACTATCAGGAAAGCCGGATTTAATTTCAAAAAGAATATTTACTGAAATTCAACCAGAAAGGGATTTAGCACAAGAACTAAGGGTAAGATAAGTGTGTTTTTGTATTCTGTATATGTAACAGTAGTCGATGGTTGGAAGCAATCGACAGGAAGACATGCCTGACCTAGATTTCATGGTAGTTGTCACTGGTTTGCTACCCTGAAGGAACTCATGTCCCCTCGGAAATTCGAACCCACGTCACTCAGTGCTGCATTCAGAGATATTACTAATGAGCTATTCGGGCTCTCAGTTGACCTTCTGTGATTGACCCAGCGTTCTTTCAAGATTACTGATACTCCTTGGTGACTGGTGAATGCCAACAAGTACGAAACCTTGGTCATGCAGGGATCCCTGCCAATTGCCTCCAACCACCTAATATCATCAATTCGCAGTGCGCCTATATTATTCATTAAGGTCACACCGGATACATGGAACAAAGGTGACTTGGCAGTACAACTGTCAGCAACCTGGAATATAATCCTGGATACATCAAAATGAATAAACAAAAAAGAACTATATACATGGGTACCCAACACACTTCAGCGACTCAGGGATTGACTTGCTACCAGGGAATAATCTCGTCGACTTAGAATATGCGGACGATATAGTCCTTCTAGACGAGGACGCTGACAAAATGCAGAGTCTACTGAACACCTTGAGCAACAATCTTCTTATTTTTGGCATGCGATTCGCCCCTGTAAAATGTAAGATGATGCTGCAGGATTGGACTTCACCGACCCCTAGATTAGAAATAGGAAGTGAAGTGGTAGAGCACGTTGACCGCTTCACTTACTTGGGAAGTACCATCAGCCCCAACGGGTTGATCTCTGACGAAATCTCAGCACGAATACAGAGGGCTTGTTTCGCATATGCCAGTTTTCGCCGTCTCTGGCGTAGACGCGATATCCGACTATCGACCAAAGGGCGTGTGTACTGCTCATCAGTCCGCTCCGTCCTCCTTCATGACTGGCTGTGAGACCTGGCCATTAAGAGCGGAAGACATGAAAAGATTAGCTGTCTTCGATCATAGGTGTCTGCGTTCCATCTCCAGCGTGAAGTGGTATAATAAGGTGAGCAATATTGAGGTTAGGCGTCGAGTGCTAGGTAAGGCGGGGAAATCAATCGATGAGACTGTGAAATTACATCGACTGAGATGTTTAGGACATGTGCTACGTATGCCTAGTCATCTTCTTCCTCGACAACGGGCAATGTTAGCTGAAATAGGGCCAGGCTGGAAAACAGTTATTGGCGGTCAAACGAAAACATGGCACCAAGCAATCAAATCCACAACAGTTAGTTTAAACCACGTAGGAAGATGTAGACTGGCTTCCTGGTATAGGTCCTCGGGACGGTAAAACACCAATGGTTGGAAACAATTGGTGACATTGCTCAAAATCGTTCTCAATGGCTGTTGCAGATGCATCCACTCCTTGTGACTTATGATTTCCAATTAAACTGTTTTGTTCTCCGTTATTACCATTTATTTGTCTCACACCTCTGTTTACTGTCTCTAATATGCATTTCATCTACATTCCTCTCCTGCTTTGTGTGCTACATGGAGTGTGGCGACTTGAACTGCCACACATATGTGCAAAGTTCTATGTCGAAAACCGACCGACCGAATCATAAACGTGTGAATTAAGAAAAATAAAACAATTCCAATATTTGGTGTCACCACGAGCAGTCATTTTGCTCGAAATATTACCAAAATACAAAAACTTATCATTTTGTGTAAACTACTGAAATATTATTTTCATTTCTTTGCGTTCCGAGTGCAACATGGGTCTTCAGCAACACATCTTCACTTTGTCCTATCTTCTACTGTCCTCTTCATCTGGGTCCACGATTGATCAAACTCTCTCATCTCTCCCTCACATGACCTCCTCCATGTCACCTTCGCACTGACGAGCCACTCATCCCTTCACATCGGTATTCCAATCGAGTGCTTGGCCCACGATGTCATTCGACGGTCTCCTCAATGTGTGCCCGACCCATCCCCATTTTCTCCTACACATTTGTTGAGTGATCGGCTCTCACCTGTTGGTTTGTTCCCACTCAGAGTTACTTGTTACTAATTCTTTCTGGCCATTTGATTTTCACTGTGGAGTGGAAGCATCTGTTGGTCAAAGTTTGCAACCAGTTGGAAATAATTTTCGTAACATGCAGTTCAAGTTTCTGACCCATATAGAAGGATCGACTTAACGTTTCTGTTGAAAATGTGAATCGTGTTCCTAATACCGAGTGCAGCAGATTTCCAAACTGGTTTCAAATTGATGAAGTCGTATCTTGCCTTTCTGATTCTGACTTTGACATCTTATTTCGTTCCGCCTGAAGTTGAAACGATGCTTCCCAGATGTTGAAATACAAGTATACTTTATTTGATCTTTTTGGATTGGTTCCGTATTAGTAACTTACTGCTGGTTACAGATCACCGTAGGGGTGAGTCGGGATGTGCAATTTTCGGGGTCGATCTTTTCTAACCCCGTCTCTCCAGAATGGAGAGACAGCATAGGTGGCTGGCATGCTGGCCGTCTCAGATAAACACCTTACTGTTGTTATATTCCTATTTCCCAGTATTTCGACTTCGCCCACAGTCCCGCAGCATAGTGTAAAAAATTCTTAGACTATATCGGTAACTGCTTTTAGTCTAATCGCTATCCAAACAACCTTCCTGGTATGGTAGGACCTGCAGGAACGATAGTTTCAGCCAGTTTAGCTTGTTGGATCATTGCGATATGCAAGCCTGATCACCACGTCAAGGTAAAGGCTATCGGTTGGTCGGTCAACATCAACACCCTGCAAGAATCTGGTTCTTCCATATTACTATTCTTTTGGCCTCATATCTCTGTTTACTGTCTCTGTTTTGCATTCCTTTTTACTTGCTTCTCTTGCTTTGTGTGCTAAGTAGTGAAGTGTGGTGACTCGAACTGCTGCACATCAGAGCAAAGTTGTTTTACGTTGAAACCAGTCAGTCAGTTATAAGGGGTAATACATCTATGCTTGCCTATTTGGTTTTCATTTATGGTTTCAAGCGGATCACACATTATGGTGATCTGAATAATATAACTATACAGGTTAAAGTACAGTGAAATTTCACCTCAAACTGTGCAGATTGACAACTGTATTCTATTAACCTCATTCTTATCCTATTTATCCATTGTAGACTGCTGTTGAAACAATCTACCGTGTTCTACCAAAAGCTCATGCATTCGGTACTGTCGCGACATTGATTGGAATGCGACCAGGTTATAAATTAGAAGTTCAAATACTGAAACATGGTCATAAACAAAAAGAATATAAGAATACAATTAGCAAGACACTTGTTGATGCCTGTAAGTTTGACTACTTCTTTTTGATATCAAAATTTTCTAAAAAAAGAAACACTCCTCCCATTGTGAAGAAGAAGAAGGAGAAATATAAAAATGAAGTTTCGAAGTTGTGTAGTTACCATCGATGGCATGATTTTGAATGATGAATACTGTTCGGAAGGTCATCGAGTCAATGAATACTGTTTCCTAATTGTAGTGGAGTGTTAATATATGTCTAAAACTTGAGCACTGTGGTAGTGGGTAATTCCATATTCGTTTGCTAATTAGATGTACCACACAATGAAACAGTATTATTTATTGGATGACAAGGTTTCGAACACAATTTATTGTTTATAATCATATCAATTATAATCACATGACTTCCAAACTTGAGTCTTATAGTTTTCTTTGTTCTCTCATATTTGTCATCATTGGGGTTGTAGAATTTTCCAGATATCCGGGTGGACAGGTGTTAAATTATTCCTATCACACGAGTTTGTAGTTGATTCGGTAAACAAAGCTTCTTCATAATCTAAGAACTTGAACTTTTATAAGTGCCACTTGAGGGCATAATGTTGAAAGTGCAGTGGCACTTTTGTTCTAAGTTCAAGTTCTTAGCTAATGACATTGTCAGTTTATATTTTAAAAAAAATTTTTAAATTTTTGATCACAGCTTGATTCCACACCTTACTTTCGGCACAGGTATGGAATTTTCAGTATGTGATATCGGCAGGCCGACTATAGATATCAGGTGTGCGTCGGCAGCGGATCGAACCCCGGACCACGTGCATGATCGGCGACAGTCATCACCGCTGTGCCACCTACGCACGTATACCAATAAATACGGCTACAGAGGCAGTCAGAAACGAACTCATTTCTGGCAAAATAATATCAATGACGATATGCATGTCAAACATGCGGTAGATAATGTAAATACCAACATCAAGAAATCTAAATCATCAGTAGCACTTCCATACAAAGAAGGAACCTCGGAAACCTCAGGCAGAATTCTTAACAAGGCAGGAATAAAAGTGGCATTTAAACCCACAAACTCAATTAGAAACAAGGTTTTTCGGTTAAAGGATCCTGTGGAGCCTTTAAAATCACCCTGCTGGAGTGATTGTCAGGTCAAATACACAGGTCAAAGTAGTAGGACAGAGGCAGTCAGACTAGCCGAACACAAAACCTAGTAAAATAAGATAATAAATCTGGACAATAGTTCAACTATAGCATTCATCCCATGCAATTACACACAACCATACAATAAGATGGATGGGACAAGATGACAGTTCTAAAATCCAGTGTCGCAGGGTGGAGGGACAGATTGATAACAAAAGCTTTGTTTATCGAATCAACTACAAACTCGTGTGATAGGAATAATTTAACACCTGTCCACCCGGATATCTGGAAAATTCTACAACCCCAATGATGACAAATATGAGAGAACAAAGAAAACTATAAGACTCAAGTTTGGAAGTCATGTGATTATAATTGATATGATTATAAACAATAAATTGTGTTCGAAACCTTGTCATCCAATAAATAATACTGTTTCCTTGTGTGGTACATCTAATAAACAAACTAATGTGTAGTGGACTGTATTATGCAATGCTCACACAAGATGAGCGACAGAGGAAGAATACATTGGACTGACAAGAAGCTGGCAGAATAAGCAGCGAAGAGAGGACTTCAAGTAAACAGACAGAAGACAGAGGTGCTGAAGACAACCAACCAACCAATAACAATAAGCGACGCTTGCCATCAACCGAAGAAATTTGAAATAGTGTCACATTCTTCACTTATCTAGGCAACATTGTTTCAACTACTGTCAGTTGGCGCATATGAGGATGTCAAAACCAGAATCGGAAAGGCAAGTCACACCATCGCCACTCCAAAATCAGTCTGGAAATCTTTTGCATTCAGCAAAAACAACAATGCTGGGATTTTCAATACGAATGTTAAGCCAATCAGTTCTTCTATATTGGGTCAGAAACCTGGCTCCAGACTTTTATCAACAGCTGCCTTCTCTCCATAAACAGGATCAAATGGTCAGAAAGAATCTCCAACAAGAAACTTTGAGAACAACCCAATCAAGAACCTTTAGCTCACAAATTACTCCGAATAAACTGAAGATGGAGTGAGCACATGCTGAAGAGACTATTGAATGATATCACGCATCGCGCAGACCCTCAAGTGTAATCAGAATCGGGAACGACGAGTTGAGTGTTCGAGGGTGATGTGGAAGAGGCGGAAGCTAGTGGCCAGTAACAGGATCAGCTAAAGGGAACTGCAAAGAACAGGACAAAGCGGGGGTGTGTTACTGAAGCCACTCGGAACCAGAGGAGATAATAATATAATAATACTGTGGCCGACCATGCACATGATCCGGGGTTCGATCCCCTGCCGACGCACATCCGATATCTATGGTCGGCCTGCAAAATTTGGGCTACCGATATCCATGCTGAAAATTCCACACTTGTACTGAAAATACGGTGTGGAATCAAGCTGTAAATCAAAAAATAAAATAAAATATATATTTCTGATAAATAAATTAATATGGGATTAATTTTTCTACTCAGGTTTTGTAGAAAGTTTGTCAAGCCCCTTCATAACACTTAACCAATATACCAATGTTCCTTATGTGAATATTTATTTCTAGATCAACCAAGTTGGATATGATGGCAGATTCACATGACTGTGTTTTGTAGGTGAATACATTTCTTGAAAGTTCGACCTTCTTGGGTAGTGACTGTAAAAGGTGATGTTTAGAGTCACCTAATTCTTGGTGTTTCGCTCTCTAGCTGATATTATTTCACACTGATGGAATGAAGATGAAATTCTATATCATATTGTTGTCTCCTTAAGTTCCTAGAGGAACATAGGGCTTCAGCCGCACGTCTCTATTGCGTTTGGTTCTTCACCAACGTTTCCACCTAGCTCCACATCTGCCTATATCCTTTCATCTCCTCTTCGTATCACCTCCTCCTCCATGTCACTCTCACACTGACGACCAACTAACTCGCCACTTCTCACTCGAGTTCCACCCGAGAGACAGAGCCTAGCGTATGGCCAATTCGCCTCCATTTCTTCCCGCATATTTGTTGTGCTGGTTTGGTTCCCTCATGGCCAGAGATCTCTGTCGCTGATCTGTTCTAGCCGACTATCTGATCTTGAGTTGAATTGAGCCAAGACAGCTGTTGATGAAAGTGTGTATTTTGTTAGAAGTGGCCTGCGTGACGCGACGCCAAGCCTCTGATTCGTATAGCATCACTGATTTCACATTGGAGTTGAAAATCTGCATCTTACTTTCCTTTAATGCTTCTTCTATCGCCAACTTGTTGCTTTTCACTTGCATATCTTCCAGTTTGTGACAACATGAAATTCTACTCTGCATTAATTTTAAAACAGGCTATCTGAGCGCGATACAATAATCTACCGATAATTTTGTTAATTTTCTTTTGCGGTTTTAGTTAAACACAGTGCAATACAACAAGCTATTCCAAATCAAAATCAGCATGAATTAGATAAATTGATCTCACAGTTTTCTGAAGTCTGTAGTATTGTAGCAACGGTATTAATTGGATCAGAGACACTGAAACCTGGTAAAAACTTTATTGGTAAGTTAAGCATGAATTTCTTGTAAGAATGTATCAATTTTGAGTAATAATCGATTAGACAAACTTTAGCTTGTTTAAAAAATTACTGGATGAAAAAGGAGCTTAGCTGGGATGTAGAGGCTTCTGAATACCTTGATCAGAAATCTCCGAATGACTGGCATGTGATTTGCTCTTGCTGTCAAATGTAAGATGATGCTGTTGGACTAGACTAAACACCACCTCGTAGCTTAAAGAGAGGAGGAGAAGCTGTTGAGACTGTTGACCACTTCACTTATTTAGGAAGTTACATCCACTTTAATAGACTGATTGCCGACAAAATCTCAGCTAGGAATACAAAAGTCTCATGCGGCGTTTTCAAACTGGTCTCATCTTCCACGTAGGCGTAATATCGTGCTATCGTTCACAGTACGTGTGAACTGCCCAGCAGTTCTCTCCGTCCTACTTTCTAGCTGTGTAGAATGACCACTAGAAGTGGAAAATATGAAAGGGTTAAGTGTCTTTGACCACAGATGCCCTTCGCGTTCTGTCTCACGCGTCACACGGTATACTGTGGTTGTAATATTGGCGTTAGGCTTAGAGTTCTAGGTAAAGAAGGAAAGTTAATCGATTAGCCTGCGATTCTACGTCGACTAAGATGACTAAAATATGATTTTGCATTCTAAGCCACCACATTCCTCGACGAGGAATATTAGCTGACATCAGTTAAACTAAAGCATGGCATGGCTTGAGTTACGTAGACAGGTGTAGACTACCTGGTTGGGGTCATGGGGATGCTAATTAGCAATGGCTGGAAACTATTGGTGATACGACTCAAAGGCATTCTCTAGGGGTGGAGATGCATTTACTCTTTATTATCTCCCGAATCGAATAAATAGTAATGTTTTTCAACGTTACCATTCTGTTTCCCGTGTATTGCCGCTCATTATAGTTCTTTTAAGTATCTTTCCGCAACCCTCGTATGCTACTTAATCTGATGGACTTCTGGTCAAAGTCTTACGCTGAAACTCAGTCAGTCAGTTCAAACTGATTAATGTGGTTGCGTCGTCGAAAGACTCCGCTATGCATATTTATGCTGGTGAATTATTCTTGAACAAAAGGAAAAATGCGAAAAATAATTTTTCTGCAAGACAGTATAGTTAGCTGGTTAATGTATGGTAGTAAGTCCAGTAATTTGCATGGTACACATAAATGTATAAAGCACAAAATAATCGAGCAAAGAATATTCTTCTCGATAAATTCCTCTTCCAGGCTCCACAATTATATATATCTATGTTTATATACACAGAATATTTTAAATTAGTAGTTAATAACAATATTAGCGTTTTTTTAAATAATATCGATTTGTAAAGTAAGATCACAATGGAATTACAGTTCATTAAAGATGCTTAAATTATAATAATAAAGATATAATAGCGAATAGAATATCAACTAAAATTAGGGAAATTTCCACAAATATTCCGGATTATTCAAACCTGGATGGCCAAGGTAATGATAATGACTGAACTAACTTCTTTTGGATGCATAAATTAGGCTTGTTAATATGGATCCCCACAGCCTCAGCAATATTTAGAAGTCGAACTCTTAAAGCCAAACTGAGATTCGTAGGTATGCGGTAAATGACCCTGAAAGCATGATTAACGTCAATCTTGTGTTCTGTCTCCACAAGATGAGATAGAATAGCGCTGCGAATAGATTTTGTTTGTCCTTTGCTTAACAATTATGCAGGGTGATGTTCGGAAATTCGACGCTAAACACGCCTAATTGTACGGCCTATGTAACTGGCTCATTGCATAGGAGCAGTTGCATTGGTATATTCACATAAATGTGTTGCGCAACTAACTCATCATCTGATACAACTTCCGGTGTTACCTGAAGTTAGGATAAGGTTGAAGAAGATTCAACTGAGATGGACTTGGAAATGACTTTAGTAGATTTACAACTACTGATCTAAACCATGTCTAGAACTTTAGATCGTTTAGTTTAAACTTCAAGTATATTGGATTAGGACTTTAGATAGAATAGCTTTCATAACATGATTGCTTCACATCCTCTTTCGTAATCTTACAAAACATTTTACTAGTCAAGGATTCTTTAAGGCGCCATTTTTATTTGCTCTTAATTCTCGAACGTCGTGAATAGTGATATTATTATTCCCTTGGGTTCTGAGTAAAACACAGGACCTCAGCAGTCTTCTTTAGATGGCTGTACGACCACGAATAAGCTTTCATCTCCTCTTCATACGATCTTATCCATGTCACCAACTAGCTCATGCCCATTGTGTTGTTTGCCATTCAGTTTCTATTTGAGGGCATAGCTGGAGCGATCTCCTTGGCGTGTTTCTAACCCACCTCCATTTATTTCTGCATACTTGTTGGGCAGCAGCTTTGTGGTTGGTTCGTTGCCAGATCTCCTCATTGCTTATCTCTTCTGACCATCTAATCGTCAATATCGAAAGAAGGCATCTGTTGGCGAAAGTTATCAGTAACCTACTAGAAATGTTTTTCGTGACACACCAAGTCTACAACTTTGTAGAAGCATTGATTTAATATTAATGTTCAAAAAACTCAACGCTTGCTCTGAACATTTTGCGCACAACACGAAAATTTGTTGTCCCCCCACGCTTTAACCTAAAGTTATGCCTTTCTATGATCCGTTTCCTCTTTATTTTCCTCTTCAGGTGTAAACCTGGATACTCTAATCATGAATTTGGTTAAAGGAGCTATCTACGACACACCTCTCGCTTCTCGTGGTGTACTGAGTGGATTATTGGCTACAGCTGGTGGAGGCATCGAAGCACTGACAGGTTTAATTACAGCAGCAGGCGGAGGAGTTGAAGGATTAGCTAAACTGCTAGCAACAATTTCCAATCCTTCAGAAGCTATTGGAGAAATACTTCGAAGTCTTAATGATGATCCAGTGAAAGCTTTGAAAGAGTTTTCAAAGGCTATGGGTGGAGGCATTGATGGGATAAAGAATATTCTAAGTGCATTAGGTGAAGATAGCAAGAAAGGCTTCCAAGAACTTGTTAAACAAATTGGTGGTGGTGCTGAAGGTTTGAAAAATCTTTTCGAAGCAACTGGAGGCATTAAAGCATTGATGGAAGGTTTGTTTGGTGAAGGTGCAGAAGGGCTTGCTGGGCTAATAGCAGCTGCTGGTGAGGATGTAGAAGGTCTTAAAAATCTCATCGAAGCTGCTGGTGGTGGAATTAAAGGACTTCAAAATCTTATTGCATTAGGTGGTGATCAGGTCAATGGGTTGAAAAATCTTCTCACTGCTATTGGTGGTGATAATGTAGGTAAGCAAGTTTATTTTACTGCAGGATTATTTAACACAATAAGGTGATTGCTTTGGTGGATAGTGACTAGCAGTGGAATCCATCAGGATGCACATTTCGTCTTCGTCTGCACTCGTCACTGGAGGTACCTGCACTCCTCAGTGATTGAAGATGTTTCCAGTGAGGCACAAACCCAGTACCAAGCCTCAGTGGGAATATCTTCACTCACTGAGGAATTCAGAAGAGTCTCAAGTAGGACTAAATGCGCAACCTGGAATCCACTGCTAGTCAAGATCCACCGAATTATTTCAACATTAAATCCTTAGACGTTGTTACAGTATCCGCTCAAAGAGCCGATATATCAACAGAGGCCGAGCAATTCGGTCCAATCATTCAACGGGAAAGTGCAAAATAAATTAAGTGAGGTAGTTGCTTGTCCTATTCTGATGACTTTTCTAGTGGTATCCATTCATTAGCTGTAACCTGTGAGTGATGAATGAAGGGATGTTTACGACGAACCAAGACTTCAACATCTGTGATCATGACTCTCGGTATAAAAGATATGTGGGCATCACTGTCGATAACAGCGGATTTGTTCTTAAGCCGAGAGTCGAACCTCTAAATTTCTACACTGCTTTCTGATTTGATTGTCGTGCAGTCAAAACTCTGAAGCAACTGCTGGCAGCTAGTCTTCCACAGCACTAATTATTCAGCTTATTTCACGCGTTTTGGCACCATTTTTCTTTACCTTAAATCGATGAACTTCACTTGTACCAGCCTCATAGATCTTGGTTTGAACTTGTACACTATTAACTAGTTTTAAACAAAGACAGATGGAGTTGTCTGGTGCTTCTTTCATTTCATGGAATCTTCAACTAACACCGTCTCATAACGAAAGCTAAATAGAATCAATCTGATAGGATCCCACACACTTGTTATTGTTCAATTATCTTAACGACTGTTAATCTCGTATAAGTTGTATATTATCATTTCTCACGCATATTGTTATTGTTCAATTATCTTAACGACTGTTAATCTCGTATATGTTGTATATCATCAATTCTCACACACTTTGCTATTGTCAATTATCTTAATGACTGTTAATCTCGCATATGTGTTATATTATCATTTCCCAGGCACTTTGTTATTGTTCAGTTATCTTAATGACTGTTAATCTCGCATATGTGGTATATCATCATTCCCACGCATTTTGTCATTGACTATTACGACCAATTATTTCTAATACTGTTAGCTGTCTCTATTGGTTGTAAAAGTGTATAAATACCATTTTCTAAATAAGTTAGTTTGTCGTTGTTGTCGTTGTCGTTGTTGTAGTCGTCGTCGTAGTCATAGTTGTTGTACTACAATACACAGTCAGAGACCAGACTTTGTCTTTTGATATTTGCGTGGTTCGCTGAATCGGAAGGTACCAGAAGCAGATAGGCATATTAATCAGGCGCAGACAGAACTAGGCGACAACGTACCTCATTTTAATTCCCGCTACAGTTACAACAAATTGGCGACGCGGTTTATCTCAATTCATTGCAGTTATAACAATTGGCGACGGGGTTTTACTTTAATTCATTGCAGTTATAACAAGCAAGCGACGACGTGTTTTATTCTGTTCAGCGCATCTATAGAACATTTTTGACTGTGTTAATTACAACCCAATTACAATGTCTATCTCTCTGGACGATCTCAAATCCATCTTGCAGCAGCAGCAACTTCAGAATGAAGCAGCTCAACTTAAATTAATCGAAGCTCTCACTCAGAAGCTGTCAATTCAAGTCCCATCAACATCTCATTCAGAAAAATACGAAAGCATCTCAAATTCCATCAGTGAATTCAACTACGACCCAATATCTGGTCTCCTATTTGATGCATGGTTCAATCGTTATGAAGACGTTTTTCGTATTGAATGCCACATGTTTGATGATGCTGCCAAAGTCCGATTGTTACTACGAAAACTTGGTACTGTTGAGCACAACAGATATGTTAACTTCATTCTGCCTAAGAACCCACGTGAATTATCATTCGATGAGACAGTCACCGTTTTATCACAAATCTTTGGTGAACAGTCATCCATGTTTAATATTCGGTATCAATGTTTTCAGTTGACAAAAATGCCTTCCGATGATTATGTTACTTACGCTGGCAAAGTGAACAAAGAATGCGAAAGGTTCAAACCACACGAAATGACATCAGATCAGTTCAAGTGTTTGATTTTTATTTGTGGGTTGAAGAACCCTGAAGATACTGACATCAGAACTCGACTTCTGTCACTCGTGGAACAAGACCCAAAAATGACTTTACAAATGGTGACAGCAGAATGCCAACGCTTAATCAACTTGAAGCACGATACTGCTATGTTGGAGTGCAAACGACAGTCGTCTGAATTTGATTCAGTTAACACAGTGAAAAGTCCCCCGATCACCGTTAAGCACACAGCACGTCAGTCTCAGAATTCAGCTAAACCTCCTTCAGTGTGCTGGCACTGTGGTTCGTGGCATTTTGTCAAGTTCTGTCCTTTCAAGAAACATAAATGCCGTAATTGTCACCGTTTTGGACATAAAGAGGGTTACTGTCCACCACAGAAAAATTCTTCGATGAAGAACAGAAGTAGTCGTTTCAAGCCAAAACAATCTCCTCGAGTACAGACTATTTTCACAACTTCCAAAGTCGATTTAGCCAGCAAACGTAAGTACATTACACTAAGCATTAACGGCAAATCTAGTCGTCTTCAGTTGGATACGGCATCAGATATCACTTTAATTTCCCGAACTACGTGGCGCAAACTTGGGTGCCCACAGATTCTGCCGACCCAGCATGTCGCTAAGAATGCCTCTGGAGATCTACTGAAACTCGTGGGTGAGATAAATTGCCAGGTTCAGTTTGGTGAGCAACAGTTCAATGGTGTATGTTATGTCACAAACTACCATGATTTGAATTTGCTTGGTCTTGACTGGTTAGACGAGCTCCATTTCTTCAATGTACCATTAAATTCAGTATGCTCTAATGTTTCGTCCTCACCAAATAATGTTGTTCCCGCACATGTATCTGATCAGTCTCTCTTACAACGCCTGCGTCAAAAGCACGCTTCTGTTTTCCAGGACAAACTTGGTTGCTGCAAATTTACCAAAGTGCCTATGCAAAACCGAAGGGGGAGGGAACAACAGAAGAAATTTTGGACAGATTCTTGCTCCATCATCGTACGACGCCAAATCCCTCCGCAGCCGGAAGCCCACGACACAGATCAAACCCTATCCAGTATCACGCGAAAGTCAACTCGAAAAAGAAGAGCTCCAAAACCTTTTCAAATAGGTCCAAAAAGCAAGTCCTACACTTTTAACGGGGGGAGGTGATAGGATCCCACACACTTGTTATTGTTCAATTATCTTAACGACTGTTAATCTCGTATAAGTTGTATATTATCATTTCTCACGCATATTGTTATTGTTCAATTATCTTAACGACTGTTAATCTCGTATATGTTGTATATCATCAATTCTCACACACTTTGTTATCTTAATGACTGTTAATCTCGCATATGTGTTATATTATCATTTCCCAGGCACTTTGTTATTGTTCAGTTATCTTAATGACTGTTAATCTCGCATATGTGGTATATCATCATTCCCACGCATTTTGTCATTGACTATTACGACCAATTATTTCTAATACTGTTAGCTGTCTCTATTGGTTGTAAAAGTGTATAAATACCATTTTCTAAATAAGTTAGTTTGTCGTTGTTGTCGTTGTCGTTGTTGTAGTCGTCGTCGTAGTCATAGTTGTTGTACTACAATACACAGTCAGAGACCAGACTTTGTCTTTTGATATTTGCGTGGTTCGCTGAATCGGAAGGTACCAGAAGCAGATAGGCATATTAATCAGGCGCAGACAGAACTAGGCGACAACGTTCCTCATTATAATCCCCGCTACAGTTATAACAATTGCCGACGGGGTTTACTTTCATTCATTACAGTTATAACACAATCAAACACTCATTCACCGAATAATTAAATCGTTTCCCTTTTACCACAGTTGTGAAGGACAAAATGAATGTATTTTTGTAAGTATGGAATATTTTTTCGGCTGTAGGACTGTTCCATTTATTTGATTATTGTTGTTATTATCCCCTTTAGTTCCCAAGTGGACAATGGGGCTTCAGCAACATACCTCCACTTTGTCCTATTCTCTGAAGTGCTCTTTAGCTGCCCCTATAATTGCCCATGTGGGTCGGTGGCACAGTGGTTAGGACGCTCGCCGACCATGCACATGGTCCGGGGTTCGACCCCCGACGCACTCCTTTACCTTGCTAAGCCAGTAATAAAGCTGGTAAAGAGGAAAGGTTGGACATGAGGCTAGCAACCCCATCCCGTAAAAATAAACACTGCTACAGAAACTTTAAACCTCTATCTTGAAGCCCTATGTTCCACTGGGAACGCGAAGGAATAAAAAAATAATTGCCCATAGTCTCTCAACTCTTCTTCACACGATTTCCTTCATGTAACTGTCAGACAAACACACAACTCGTCGTTGTCTATTCGGGCTCCACTTGAGCTATGACCTCGTTGACGCGCGATGATATTCGATGATCTCCTCCACGTGTGTCCCTTCCGTCTCTATTTTCTTTTACATATTTTTTGGCCTCCAGGTTCTTGTTCGGCTCGTTCCTAGAGTTTCTTTCTGGCCATCTAACGTTGAATATGGAGCGAATGCATATGTAAATCAAAGTCGGCAACCTGTTGGAAACACTTTCCGTGATCCACCAAGTCTATGATTCATTTAGAAGAAGTGGCTGAACATTAGTGTTAAAAGTTGGAATCTTGTTGTTCATGCTGAGTACAGAAGATTTTCAAACGTGTTTTAGAGTGATGAGGGTGTGACTTGTCGCTCCGATCTTAGTTTTGACTTCCTCATATGTGCTATCTGTAGTATGGATTTGATTAGGATGTCATTTTAGTCAGTTGATAGGATATCTGGTACTCTCTGTTTGTCTACCTTTGATGGCATAATCAGCTTTTCAAATCGGGGAAACACATGAACAAAAACTGTGGGTTTTTATTTATATGGCGTTTCTGTTGGCTGAACTTTCGGTTCAATATAATAATCGACCATTAGGAAATTCATAATTTGTTTAAAGTAATAATAACTGACACCTGTTGCACAAGTGGTGGCTCTCATGGCCTAAGTGTCCTGTTGCATGATGCCTTGGCATTTGGAATGATGGGTGATGGAAAAACATCAGTCAGTCAAGATTGTAGATAAATGCAGTTGGAGAGTTCAAAACCGGAGGATATGTGCATCATTGATCTCCCTGATATTCAGCGTCCACTAGGCAAACGTAGGTTTCTAATGAACGAAAAACAAAACAACTGACTGACTATTCGCTGTTTAATACTTGCAGCTTTATCAGAGTATTCCTAAGCCAGAATCTAAAGAATCTTCGCTTACATATGGTAACTTAATCATCGTTCCTCAGCGTAAGGTGACTTTTACGTTGTTAAGTGAGTGAGGTGGTGAAGACAACAAATCATGTGGAAACTCCAATTACTAGAATTTTATCACAAACCACCGTCAGTTAGAGAAATAATTGAAGCATCAGGGAGCATTGGAATGCTGCTTCGTCCTATTCTTGGGATTTTCAGGGATGGAAATCCATGACCTCTTCAACAAGGATCAAACAACAGACCTTCATGCTATGAAACCATACTCATTGACCATTCAGCCACTTCAGGGGTCGGAATTCACTCGCCTCTGAATTCTAACTTTGTCAACTCGTGATATGGCCCTGTCCACACCAATACCGATTCCTTGGATGAGCACTGATTTAGCCTTTACATGGTCAACAAATTTAGAATTTATTGAATTCCACCTCAAGTATCTGAATAGGCTACGGGGGTGATTTCGTAACCTGCAGGTTCCCGATTCGATCCTTGGTTGAGCCATGAATGCTGCCTCCTAAAAAATCCCAAAAAACAACGAAACAACTTTCCTATGTCTCCTGGAGTTTCAATGATCTCCCTGAATGATGTTGATTCGTGAAAAAATTGAAATTAATCCGAAATCACCACATATCGTATAAACTGAATATGTGAAGATTGTTGAATTTGATAAAGGTAAGAAATTACAAAAATAGTGTGTGGGTTTACATAATGAAACTGCTCATCATATTTGCATTGAGTTTGTCAGTACACGAAGTAGGGGGGAGTGGAATCAGGTTAGATTCTGTCTTAATTCATCATTCCCATCCAGACAAATAGGATTCCATTTTGCTATGAAGTGCTTCTGATATTTGAACGTTCTTTGTGATTATTTCAATATTGTCAAAATCAGTTATGTCGCGTGATTCTACAGTGGCTGAGGATTTTTCAAGCCTTTCTAGTTCAACTGAATTTCTCGGTGGTCGAGTAGAGAATTTATGGTGTTCATTTCTCCTAATCTTGATGTCTGTCTGATGAGATCACTTATTTTGTAGATACAGTCAGACTGTGAATCCATTAGAATTCAGTCTTTCACCTGAAAAACGATTACTTTTTAGTGTGTCTGATGTTTTGAAGAGAATTCTGATGTCACATTTGTGGATTACTGCTCTGATATCGTTTGGTGTATTCGATTGTGAACTTGGTCTGGACATGTAAGCCGCAGGTTTTAATACAGTATTTGCTGTGAGTCCTAAATTGAGTTTATTAAAACCCCTGTGTATAATCCAGCTTACTTCCTATTTTGACATCACACCTTTCTTGACTTACTGACTGAATATTGTCTCTTGTTGGGTTTCATTTGAATATACTGTGAGTCCCTTAACAAAAGTGCCTATAAAGCTGGTTATTCTTGGCTGATATAAACAAGACAAGTGGTTCAACGAAGAGGCTCCTTCCGGCGAATTCATTTTCTTTAGCTGTACAGTTAATTGTATTAATATGCAATTTTTTCATGAAAGAGGCTAGTAATCTCTTTAACGCTTTATCAGGAATGAAACATTACTTGTTCGAGAAAAGAAAGTTTATATGAGCCTGTAGTTCAAAGGGGATTTAGCCTGCGATATCCTTAAGCGGAGAATTTTGTCATCTTTGAGGAAAATATTCTCCTCAGAAAAGCTGAGAGTAAGTGGCCTTAAGCATAAGATTTCACATCGGATCACATCTATGTGCAAATATCAGTTCACCAGTTCTTTTGAAACCAAGTATACTGGTCATTCAACGCACTTCCTGTCTAAAAGCACTCAAGAACATTATCCTACATGGTTGCAAAAGAGGCAACAGTGCTATAATCGAACATCTTGTCAACATTGATCATTCCATTTCAACAAACACCTTCAAAGTAATCTATGAAGGAAAGAATGACTCGCCGAAGACAATACGCTTTCATCTCCTTTGCATTCTTGAAGCCGTAGCTGTACACTTAGAAAACCAGAATCGCGGATACAAAAGAAAATTATTTAACCAATTCTACTATCATGACAACAACCTTGTTCATTTCTATTGACTTGATTATTGTGTGCTTCTTTTTCTGACTCCTTATAATTTTTGTATTTCTTTAGAACTCTTACACAATTCTATACTTGCAATTAATAGTGTTCTCTGAGCTGGTTGGTTTAGTTGCGAAGCTTTCGTCGTCTTTCTGGACAACATCTTCAGCGCCATATTTAGCACCAACCAGCTCAGAGAACACTATTATTTGCAAATCATCCACCTGAGCTACAAATCTTCTCTACTATTTCACAATTCTATACTTTCCTTCATTCCTATGTGCATCCTGATTACAATTCATTCACTGAATTATTCATCTTAATACGTAACTCTACTGTCAGGTGGTCCGCAATGGAAAACTCAGCGAGGCGTTCGAAGTAAATACAGGAGTAAGACAAGGCTGCCTGCCTTTTATCATTTATGACATTTTTAATTGTAGTGGACTGGATTATGCGTCAGACTGTATACAGGTAGGGAGGAGACAGGAATGCACTGCACTGACCGATAATAAGATTCTAGATTATCTTGATTTCGCAGATGGTATGTGTCTAATATCACACAAACTCGGAGACTTGCAGGCGAAAACCAAAAAACTGGCTGAAGAGGCCAGGCGGGCAGCGAAGACAAGACTTCACTCGAACACAGAGAAAACGGAGGTGATGAAGACAACCAAACAATAGAAACAGCAAAAGCAACCAGCATCAATCTCTATCAGAGGGAGAAATTTGACAGAGGTTACTTCGCTCACTTGTCTGGGAAGCATGGTTTCAACCACAGGCATTCGGAACGGATGAAGATGTGAAAGCCAGCTAGCCAGTTAGAATTGGAAAGGCGAGACATGCCTTAATCAATCTGAAACCAGTTTGGAAATCCTCTACACTCCGCAGCATTAAAAACAGGATAAGGATTTTCAACACAAATGTGAAGTCAGCCAGTTCTTCTAAACGAACGAAATACTTCCACTGCGTGTCACGAAAGGGATTTCCAGCAGCCAGTTGTAGACGAGTATCAACAGCTGCCTTTACTGGCCTTATACTGAAGATCATGTGGCTCGTGGGCCAGGAAGAATTAGTAACAAGAAACTCTGGCAGGTGACAAACCAAACCAAGAGCCGATCGCTCAACAGATATGTAGGAGAAAATGGAGATGGATTGATGGAGCATACGTTGAGGAGGCCGTCGAATGACATCGCGGGCAATGCAGGCCATTGCTACAATGGGGTCTCGATTGTAAGCGACGAGTAGGTCATCAGTGTGAGGGTGACTTGGAGGAGATCGTGTGAGTTGGAGGAGGATGTGAGAGATAATGGGCTATCGTGGACCCACATGAAGAGGACGGCAGAAAGTAGAACAAAGTGGAGATATGTTGTTGAAGTGTTATGTTCCACTCAGAACCCAAGAGAATAATAATAAAAACGTAACTCCACTACACTTATTAAACTCCTTTTATGCGTTGACTATTATTAAAGATTGTGTCTGTGACAACTCATCACTTTCGTTACTACTCTCTTTCATGAAAAAGCAGATTGTACATAAATACGATTGTAGAGCTAAAGCGAGAAATGAACTAGCCGAAAAGATCCTCTTCACTGAACTACTTGCTTTGGTTTTATTAATGTCCAACGGGAGCTCTTCATGAATATTCTTGGTTAGTCAGTATAGGTGATATGAAACAACTCTGATAATGTTAGCTTTTCTATGCGACATACATGCACGTCTTATCCAAGTCGTACTGCTTTTTTTTCTTTCTTTTGCAGCTGATGCCCTATCAACTCTGATCGCTGCTGCTGGTGGTGCAAAAGATGGACTAGCGGCACTATTACAAGAATCCGGTGGAGGTGCCAAAGGTTTAGAGAATTTAATTGCAGCTGTCGGTGGTGGCGTTGACGGGTTGAAAAGCCTTTTGAAAGCAACTGGCGATGATCCAACAGAAGCGTTGGCCAACATTTTGCTAGCAGCTGGAGGAGGCGTGGAAGGTTTTCAAAATCTTTTGAAGGCTGTAGGTGGTCAAGATAGTGTTGAAGGGCTTAAAAATCTGTTGGGTGTTATGGGAGATAATCCCAATGAGGCATTGACCAATATCTTAAAAGCTGCAGGTGGAGGTGCTGAAGCTTTGAAAAATCTACTTCAAACAATTGGTAATGGTATTAATGGCCCTGCTGATGGCTTGCAAACGCTACTTCAGGCTCTAGGTGGTGATCCTGTAGAAGCATTGGCCAATCTCATAGCTTCCGTTGGTGGTGGTGAAGAAGGTTTGAAGAGTCTTATAGAAGCTGCTGGTGATGATGTAGTCGGTGGTTTAACTAATCTTCTCAACTCATTAGGTGGTTCTACTAAAGAAGCCTTAGAAGCATTACTGACTGCTTCAGGTGGAGGAATAGACGGTTTACAGAAATTGGTAGCAGCAGCTGGCGGAGGAGCTGATGGCCTAAGAAATATACTTGAAGCTACTGGAGGTGGTGCTGAGGGATTGAAAAATTTGTTATCTTCGCTTGGAGGTGAACCGACGGAAGTCTTGAGAACATTACTGACAAATATCGATGGGGGTAAGTTATCATCTAGGTGGTGAAATTATGCTCTTTCTGACTCAGTTAATTTGAATTTGTTTGTAAAGTTTGGGTTTGTTTCATGCATGATTACACAGAGTGATGTTCACAAGTGGCTCACTTTAGGATGAGGCTGCGTGAATTTTTATTGAGAAGTCGTAACCAGCGGGATCCACCAGATCGAGCATTGGATGGCGGTGGCGGTATACATCTCGAATTGGCAGAATTGATGGGCTGGTCACTGGATTGTAATCCAGTGACTGAACAGTCAACGAGCTTGTCTCATTACCTAAAGGTAGTGGGTTCAATCCTCGGTAGGTGCGTGTAGGCGTACTACTGAGGAGTTCATACGAGGATGAGACAAATGACCAGTACTCCTTTCAGGTTTTCAGTAGTTCTTTTACTGATATCGACCCATAATTAAACTTGAATTTTTTTATTATTGCGAACGGTACATCTGATGTAGCTGTATGACTAGAAATAACTAGGTACATCTCTGGAAAGCCAAAGGGAATATTTCACTGAGTGGTATTAGGAAAGAATTAGGTCTAATATAAGTAGAGCTTTTCGGTTGTCGGACACATTATTCCCCTCGCTAATTTTTCTATGGGACAATTCATTGGTCGAAGATCAAGAGACGGCTCTGTGGCGACTTAGTCATTTTGTACAGAAAACAATTTAATGTGTTCTAAGTAGACACTGTTCATAAGACTTGAATATAAATCATTAAAATTGCTGACTTCGAAGAATTCCTCTAGGAAAGAAGTAGTTACTCTCAATGGCGAAATAATGAACAGTGATAACCCACATGAAGGCCTAATTCGACTACAAGATATACTGATGCTGTTTACTGAGTCACCGAAGTCTGAAACCCTACACTTTTTTAATGATTTTGAACTTTAAAGCAATTAGAAGTTAATTGGTGGATGGTGACTAGCAGTGGAATCCAGGATGCGCATTTCGTCCTATTCGGGACTCGTCACCATAGGCGCTGGGCTCACTGCGGAATGCAAGCACATCCAGCTGACGAAATGAGCATCCTGGATTCCATTGCTAGCCACCATCTACCAATTAACTTCTGATTGCATGCTCAGACGTTGTCGAAACCTCTGCTCAAGAAGCGGACATGTCAACCTGAGTCCGAGCACTTCGGTCCAGTCAGTCGACAGGAAAATCTAAAATTCAATTAAATAATTTAAAGCAATTAGTTGAGTTTATGAACCTCTGTATAACTATAGGAAGACGTAATTTATCTTAAATGTGTAGTATGTATTTGCGCACCACATTTTGGGAATTCTCATTACACATGTACTTGCCATACGTATTTATATATAAGGCAGCAGATCATAAAAAGATAACAATCGTTTTTATCGGGATGTGTCGAAATGTTGACCGATCAAGATCACAAATAAGAGGTAGTAAAATGAAGTAGGGAGGAAGGGGGTGAAAATATTGTTATTTCAATTAATTAGTCCCTGTGCGTCGGTGGCACAGTGGTTAGGACTCTCGCCGATCATACACATGGTCTGGGGTTCGATCCCCTGCCTACGCACACTCGATATCTATGGTCGGCCTGTAAAATTTGGGCTACCGATATCCATGCTGAAAATTCCATACTTGAACTGAAAATACGGTGTGGCATCAAGCGGTCCATTTCACGTACGAAGGAGAATACAACGACTCTCTACACTTCCTCGACGTCCTACTTACGAGAAGAGAGGATGGTTCCATCAAAAGAACCATATTTAGAAAGCTAGAGACCAAACCTCAGTATACACACTTCCTTAGCTTTGTACCGATGAAATATAAACGTAATCTGATCAGATGCTTAGCATTTAGGGCGAGGTCTATTTGTTCCAAAGACTGCGTAGAGAAAGAGCTCCAGGTCATCCGAGACATTCCCAGCAAGAACGGGTATCCAGAGAAGTTCATTAAAGCCAACATAGGTTACAATAGTCGTAAACACGAACTGGCAACAGTGGAGAAAAAGCCTCTGTTTTTACGTCTCCAATTCAAGGGAGATACTCCTGCGGAGATTCTTTCGCAACCTTTAACCAGGGCGATTAAGAAAACTTTCTACTCTGCATGTCTGTGTCTATCCTTCAGTAGCCGTCCAGTGTTCACCCAGCAACTCAAAGATGTCTTACCTAAGCTTAGCTCCTCTTCATGCATATACCATTTCAACTGTTCCTGTGGTTCAAGTTATATAGGGCGCACGATTAGACAGGTTCGTCTACGGGTTCGAGAACATTTACCAGCTTGGTTCAGCAGGGGGGAAATTAAGTGCATAAAAAGCTCGATCTTGCCACACTTTGTCGATACTGGACATCATATCGATGTCAACACAGCTTTCAGGGTTATATACCGAATTCCGAAGTCGTTATCACTTACAGTTCGCTTACGTCTCCTACACATAGCTGAGGCTGTTGCAGTTAGATCGACTAAACCGGAACTTTGTATCGAAAAAGAACACGTCCAGACGCTGTTCCTACCGTGGCCAAACTTGGATTGATGATTCTTCTTCTCACCAAGACTGCTCCTTCCCCTTAACCCGCTTGGTTTTTTCCTTTGCTTATTATTACAAATATTATTATTAATGCTATTATTCTTATTCGTCACAATTTATGCCCTTCATGCAAACATTCTCTCAATACTATCGAATTTTCTCGTTTATGCTATCCGGACTTATTATTAGTGATATTATCTCTTTTCTCAATATATGCCTCCCCATGTTTCATTTCACATATTCGTTACCTCATTATGAACCTCTCATTGCAGTCTTACTATCTCCTGTTTAACACAGACCACTTTGTACTGGCCACTCAACTGATGCCTTTAATAACTTTGAACTGACTTGTCAATTTTCCTACCCCACACTCTACAAATCTATTATGATTAATCACCACCATTGTCTCCCGTTTTACAACATTTTGTAATTGATTTCAGCCCAGGGCACGTTTGTCACACAAATATGACTATTTATTTTGACACCCCATAACTAATCTGTTATTCTATGTTAAAAATGTATCCTCCGCATAACTGGCCTTTATTGTAACGACAACAAATATTATATTTTATAATTGTAAGAACCTGAAGAGGAGAAATTATTGAAAAGAGTATTCTTCGTTCAGATTGACTTTTAATTCATAATATGGGAATATTCCACACCATCAAATCGAATAACAAAATGCTTTTGAACACACAGGGGAGGGGGCGGTTAAGTTTATGAATAGCTACAGCCTCAGCCGATTTCATTAAGTGCCCTTGACCATTTTTATAGATGACCTTAAAGGCTGTGTTGACATCATTCTCATGGTTCATCTCCATTAGATGTTTGGTAGCCTGCCACCTGCGTCTATTGATTTTCCACAATTCTTTTGTCTTTCTAGCCATTTCGGGATAGGCTCTCCCACTCTCACTTGTAAAGCATGATTACTCCTCCCTTATGTATGTGTCCAAGCACACACACACACAAAACTTAGTAAATAGTATGGGATGTGACATAATCACTTGTGCACTTTTGATGTTTACAGTGGAACATATTTTTGGTATTTTCGATAATTACAAGCCGGTCTGCATAAAAGGTCCGACGGATGACCAAATTTAACCTCTATCTCAAAGTCCTACTGTTTATTTCACCGGGGGAGTACTGGACAACTGTTTCATCCCTGGTTTTCAATGGTTCTCTAACTGATACCATTCCGTGCTCAAACTCGCAAAAACCAATTTAATCCTTACAAACCAACTCTTGAAAATTAATCTGATGCTCGCTAGTGACTTGCTACAGGACTGAATTTCCCCGAGTTCCAGTGAGAAGTCGTGACCAGTGACGCTCATCCAGTCAAGTGCGAAGATGGATGTCTCACCAATGACATCGATTGGTGGTCGTGCTAAATCACAAATTGGGGGAAGTTAGAATTCATATGTTGGCCATTGAATGGTATACGAGCCAGCTTGCCTTGTAACCGGAAGGTCGTGGGTTCGAAACCTGATGGTGGGTTTGGCGTACTGCCGATGAGTTTCAAACTAGGACTAAACAGCTGTCCAGTAGTTCAGGGCGGTTCTCAATGCTTCTCTAAATTAATATCAGTCCATAATCGAACTTGAAACAAATTTTTGTCGTAATTGGCTGTTCATTCGCTTTAGTATTGATCATTTTTGTTCAGCTGCCTTGGATTTTGACTTTCATAGGAAAATGTAGAAATTTTAAACACAGTGAAAACATACAGAAAATCCCAGGGGATTCCTAGAAGCCTGGTACTCAGATGAATCAGCGACTAACATTCACAATAATAAAGATCAAGTTTATCAATCAATAAAGAATGAGCCAAATGACAAAAAAGTCAATAAGAAAAACAAGTATTGTTACAAACTAACAGACCAATCGCGACAAAAGTTGTCAGGAGATACTATCATATTATCCGTTGAGAAAGAATTCAAATTACTTCACTTTTAGACTGAAACTTGCACTGGAGATGTATTGCCTAGAAGGACAATGAAAGGAGACGATTTGTAGCTCAGGTGGATGATTTTGGTGTGGTTGTGTTCTCTGAGTTGAATAGTTAGTTTGCGAAGCTTTCATCGTCCTACTAGGCAAAATCTTTGGTGCATATACTTCATTTTGATGAAGTGAGCTTTTAGATTTCCCCACGAGTTTATTAATCATCCCTCCTGGTGACCTTGGACCTGATTGGTTGTTCCATGTCTTCACACCCTCTAGACTACTTGTATTGGTACTGATTGTTTCCTTGACCTGAAGTTTGACCCTTTGTGTATGAGATTTCCTTCTTATCGGTTGGTAAACCTTGTCAGTGTCAATTTGTTCATTGATTGACGATTCACTGGAATACGAGACTTTTAAAAATTCTCTAGCATTCCTGGTGTTTCCTCCGTCCAATACGTCCAATACGTTGTCCCAGTCGAACCACGGACATCAATTCTACTGGGACAACGTATTGGACGTATTGGACGGAGGAAACACCAGGAATGCTAGAGAATTTTTAAAAGTCTCGTATTCCAGTGAATCGTCAATCAATGAACAAATTGACACTGACAAGGTTTACCAACCGATAAGAAGGCAATCTCATACACAAAGAGTCAAACTTCAGGTCAAGGAAACAATCAGTACCAATACAAGTAGTCTAGAGGGTGTGAAGACATAGAACAACCAATCAGGTCCAAGGTCACCAGGAGGGATGATTAATAAACTCGTGGGGAAATCTAAAAGCTCACTTCAAATTGAAGTATGCATTGAAGATGTCGCCTAGTAGGTCGACGAAAACCTCGCCTAGATTACTAGGTCACTAGTATTCTAGCCGGTCCCAAGCCCGGATAAAGAGGGAGGGTTGGGGTGTGGTGCTAGCAACTCCACCCCCAAAACTTAACCAAATTGCTACTAAAACTTCAACGCACAAATATATTCAAAATTCTAAAATTACAAATAGTGACCTTATTTTTCGCTGGAATCGGGGAAGTGAAATGACGCGGGCTGGTGAAAGCCTTCGGGAAGCCAGTCAGCCGATGTGCCTTCTTTCGATGAAAGCGAAAATAAGGATGGGGACGTGGAATGTTCGTACAATGTATGAAGCTGAGAAGGCTGCTCAGGTAGCCGCAGAAATGAGGAGATATAGAATAGAAGTGTTGGGAATCTGCGAGAGCAGATGGAACGGATGTGGAAGGAGCCAACTATCAACTGGAGAGACAATAATCTACTCCGGTCACCCAGAGGACAATCACGAGCACACCGAGGGAGTAGCCATCATGATGTCACCAACAGCGGCTAAAGCTCTCATGCAGTGGGAACCAATCTCCTCCAGGATAATGACAGCCAGGTTCAACTCAAAAGGAAAAAAGGTTACAATCATTCAGTGCTACGCGCCTACAAACGCCTCAGAACATGAGAAGAAGGAGGATTTCTACAGTCAACTACAAACAGTAATGGACAACGTCCCAAAGAGCGATATCAAAATCCTGATGGACGACATGAATGCGAAACTGGGAGGAGACAATACAGGAAGAGAACTCACCATGAGTCGTGAGGCCCTCGGTGAAATGAACGAAAATGGCGAACTCTTCTCAGACTTCTGCGCCTTCAATGATTTGGTGATTGGTGGCAGTGTGTTCAAACACAGGGATATACACAAGGCAACATGGATTTCACCAGATGGACACACCAAAAACCAGATAGACTTCATTTCAATCTCAAGGAAGTGGAGACGGAGCCTACTGGACACAAGATCGAGGAGAGGAGCAGATGTGGGTTCAGACCACTATCTGGTACAAGGGACTTTCAAGGTGAAGCTGAAAGCCTCGAGGATACCTGGGGATAGGCCACAATGCAAGTTCAACACTCACAAACTGAAGGACACAATCACACAGGACATTTTCACTGCAACTGTCAGAGCAAAGCAGGAAACACTACGAGGCACCACTGAGGAATCATCCGTGGAAGACCATTGGAACTCTCTGAAGGTAATTTTCAACGAAACTTGCTCAACGGTTTTAGGAAGAAAGAAGAAACAAGACAAGGAATGGCTCTCAACAGACACTTGGAAACTAATAGAGGAGAGGAGAAAAGTGAAAGAGAAAATGATTCAATGCAAAGATGGACAAGAGAAAGAGACGCTGAACTCAACTTACACAGCACTGGACAAAGAAGTGAAGAAGAGTGCCAGGAAGGACAAAAGACAATTCTACGACAACCTGGCTACTGAAGCTGAGAAGGCAGCAGGCAAAAGGGACCTGAGGACACTATATCAGATAACCAAGTCTCTATCCGGGAAGAGATCAACACAAGTGAAACCTATAAAAGACAGCCAAGGGAACCCAATCACCAAAGAAGAAAGGCAGATTAAACAATGGGCGGACCACTTCAAAGGACTCTTGAACCGACCACCACCTACAACCCGTCCAGTAATACCAACAACAGCACGTACACAACTGCAAGTTGACACCAATCCTCCAACGAAAACTGAAGTCATGAATGCAATCAAGCTTCTGAAAGCTGGAAAAGCAGCTGGACCAGATGGAATACCCCCGGAAGCACTGAAAGCGGACCCAGAAACGACGGCAGATATGCTGACTCCATTATTGCAAAAGATCTGGAAAGAGGGAAAGGTGCCTACTGACTGGAGGAAAGGTTACCTGGTGAAACTACCAAAGAAGGGCGACCTGGGACTCTTCAAGAACTGGCGAGGAATCATGCTCCTGTCGACGCCAAATAAAATCCTGAGTCACATCATCCTGGAGAGAATCAAGGACGCACTGGATACAGAACTCCGACCAGAACAAGCTGGATTCAGGAAAGGCAAATCATGTTCTGACCAAATTGCAACTCTACGCATTATCATCGAACAAAGCATGGAATGGCAATCAAATCTCTACCTCAACGTCATAGACTTTGAGAAGGCCTTCGACAGCGTTGACCGCGAAGTAATTTGGAAACTACTCGAGTACTACGGCGTACCGCAAATATTCATCAACCTTATTCAACAACTGTACGACAACGGCACATGTCAAGTGATCCACAACGGAAAACTCAGCGAGGCGTTTGGAGTAAACACAGGAGTCAGACAAGGATACTTATTATCACCAATGATATTCCTAATTATGGTGGACTGGATTATGCGTCAGACAGTGGGAAACGAGAAGACAGGGATATCCTCGACCGACGTGAAGAACCTAGAAGACCTGGATTTTGCGGATGATTTATGTTTGATGTCACACAAAATCGAAGACTTACAAGCAAAAACCGACAAACTGGTCGAAGAAGCAGCAAAGACAGGACTCCAGGTGAACATAGACAAGACGGAGGTTATGAAAATAACCAACCAACAACAGCAGCAACATCCAGTGCCAATCACCATCAACGGGAGGGATTTGAAAGAGGTTACTTCTTTCACTTATCTGGGGAGCATTGTCTCAACCACAGGAGGAACGGACGAGGATGTCAAATCGAGAATCGGGAAGGCGAGAAACACATTCATCAACCTGAAACCAATCTGGAAATCTTCGTCACTCAGCATCAACAACAAAATTCGGATTTTCAATACAAACGTGAAGTCAATTTTGCTTTACGGATCAGAAACTTGGCGGGTCACCAAGAATATTTTCAACAGGTTGCAGACCTTTATCAACAACTGTCTTCGCTCCATACTGAAGATTAGATGGCCAGAAAGAATCACAAACAAGAAGCTATGGGAACAAACGAAACAGGAACCAATCGCTCAACAAATATGCAGGAGAAAGTGGAGATGGATTGGACACTCGCTGAGGAGGCCGTTGAGTGACATTGCGCGTCAAGCCCTCGAGTGGAACCCGAAAGGGAAGCGGCGAGTGGGACGTCCAAGGGTGACATGGAGGAGATCGTGTGAGGAGGAGATGAAACAGTATGGAATAACATGGACGCAAGTGAAAAGAACAGCAGAAGACAGAAGCAAGTGGAGACGTGCAGTTGAAGCCCTATGTTCCACTAGGAACCCAAGGGAACAATAATAATAATAATGGGTCGACGAAAGCTTCGCAAATAAGCTATCCAGCTCAGAGAACACAACCACATCAAAAGGATAATGAAAGTTTTGCAATTAAATCATCCAGCTCATCAAAAAGTCTTTAATCCTCCCCCCCTTTGTGGCTTAGATGCGATACAATCAGTCAATATTTATCCTAAAATATGAATTCGAACTTAACCATCCCTATTTATAATGATCAATTAGTTCCTGTCTTCTTTATAGCTAACTAACTAACAACTGTTTGAATTTCTGTTCCTTTTCAATACAGGTTTAGCAAATCTTATCGCAGCTGCTGGTGGTGGAGCATTAGGCCTTAAAAATCTACTGAATGCAGTAGGAGGTGGTGCAGAGGGATTGATAAGCCTATTAACTGCAATGGATGGTGATATCAATGAAGCCTTAATCAACTTATTGAATACAACAGGTGATCAAAAATCAGATTTAAAGAATTTAATTGAAGCATTAGGCGGTGGTGCTGAAGGCTTTGAAAATCTACTGAAAGTTATCGGTGATAAAATGCCTATTGAAGAACTATTGAAGACACTGGGAGGTGGAGTTGAAGGCCTCGCGACTCTACTGAATTCAATCGATGGGAATAAAGATGCAGTAATACAAATGTTAATAAATTCTTCTGGTGGAGGTGCAAAAGGCTTGGCCAACTTACTGAAGACTGCTGGAGGTGGTGTTGATGCTATCAAAGAAATTCTTAATTCACTAGGCGGGGGTCATCAAGCATTAGCAAAACTGCTAGCAAGTTGTGGTGGTGATAATCCAGCCGAAGCGTTAAAAGTTCTGCTGGAAATGTTAGGTGGAGATGAAAATGCCCTGAAAAATTTATTAGCTGCAAGTGGACTTGATCCAAACGATCCAAATTCTTTAAAGCTACTTTTGGAAGCTTTAGGTGGAGCAGAGACAGGTTTAACAACATTAGTGAATGCCTTGGGTGGAGGTGATGCAGGTTTAAAGAAACTCTTAGAATCACTTGGTGACGACGGGATTGTTACTCTTATTGCAGCCGCTGGTGGAGGTGAGCATGGAACAGGAGCTTTAATTAGAGCAATCGGTGGTAGAGGAATCGATGGTTTGACGGCTTTATTAAATCTTCTCGGTGGAGGTGAAAATGGTCTTGCTGTATTGATTGGAGCCGCTGGAGGTGGACAGTCCGGCTTAGCTGCATTGCTTAAGGCAGCTGGTCAGTTTGCTGAGGATGGAGATGGTCTTTCTGCGCTTATAGCAGCTGCAGGAGGTGGTGCTGAAGGCTTGGAAGCATTAATTAATGCAGCTGGTGGTGAAGAGGTTGGATTAGAACAGTTATTATTGGCTGCAGGTGCTACAGACGCCAATTCAAAATCGAACATTTTAAAACGTCTTATTGAATCAGGAGGTGGAGGTCAGGAAGGCTTTAATAACCTGTTAAAAGTTATTTCTCGTGGAAAACGTGATAGAACGATAAATGGACTTAGCGGTCTGCTTAAAGTTCTTGGAAATAATCCAGAATCGTTAGAAATACTTCTAGGAGCTTTCGGTGGTAATTCAGACGGGTTGGCTGATTTGCTGGCAGCTGCAGGAGGCGGAGCGGAGGCTTTACAGTTGTTGATCAATGCAGCTGGAGGTGGAGCTGAGGGGCTATCAAAATTACTGGCTGCAGCTAAACTGGATGGTGTTGGACAGTTGGCTGATATTTTAGCCGCTGCAGGATTAAGTGATGACGTGGTTGCAGCGGCAAGGGCTGGTGATATAACGGCGCTTACAGGTAGGTGGTAAATAATGAGTTTTACTATACTCGCAGTATATAGCATAATGAACGTTTGAACGATTGATAATAGCAGGGAAACGATAACTTGGTTAGCAGTTGAATTTCGTCACTAAAACTCGTAGAATGCCCGGGTATCAAAGTGTCATTAGTGGGTTCGAATTCCGCCCCAACCAATGTTTTTATTTTGTGTGTAATTGCCGGTGACTGCATAAAAAGTCCAGTTACTAAAGATGTCAGAAGTGTATATGTATTTATTCAAACACACACATACCTTTTATGAGTTTAAAGAAGAACTGCGTCTGTTGTGCGAGTGTTCTAGCGATGCAAGTTGACTACACAAACCTCAGTACGTCAGTCATTGTTCGGATCGCTAATTTGATTTTTAGAGTTCGAGTTACAGCTTCACTTAAAGAGAATTAGACATCATGTGTTGAGCAGAACTCATCCTTTTTACAGTCCTACTGAAACTCTTTTTGCATGCAAGGAAATAGAACTCGAACAGGGATTCGATTAGATAAACCCACTTATTCTAAGATAGATCAAAACATGACCAGTTGAAAAGCTATTGAAAGTCAAGGAGTACGTCGCTAGAAACTGGCCCTAGAAACTTCCAGTTGTCTGAACTTCGAGTGACAAAACGTGACCAACGGATTCCACCAAGCTGTGTGTCAGGATAAATACTCGCTGGTGACACTAACTCATAGTGCCTCTATATCTCACAAAACCGCAGAGGTTAGAATTCATGGGCCGTTGAATTCCATCCCACTGTCTGAATGGTCGCTTAACTCGCCTGTTATGCTGAAGGTCTTCAGTTTGATCCTTTATGAGGTCATGGGTGTGTATTACAGTTCGAAACTAAGACAAAATACTCCCTGGTTTTGAGTGGCTTTTTAACTGATGCCTGACTGTCTTTATTACTTCTGTCTCCTTCGTTTTTATCTGAAATCCCGTCTTGCTTGCTTCGTTTGTCAGTGTGTTGATTCTGGCTTGTAAACATTTGAGCTTATGAGACAAGAAGTATAAGTCATCTTTAAACACAGATCTTCTAGGGTCTTTTGGCTTGTTCAACTTATGCCAGTCTTCTTACTCCCCATCGATTGCCACATCATTCAATTCAGTATAATCAGGAACATCATCGGTGATGACAAATATCCCTGTCTTACTCTTGTCTCCATTTGGATAGCTTGGTTGAATTTCTAATTGTGAATTGTTTGGAATATGACGTGGAAACCGGTTGGCTGTTGGCCGAAGGGTGTGTGTACTGCTCAGCAGTTCGTTCTGTCCTCCTCTATGGCTGTAAAATGAGACATGGCCATTTAAAGTGGAAGACATGAAAAGGTTAGCTGCCTTTGATTATAGGTACCTGTGTTCTGTCTCCTGTGTTAGGCGGTATAATAGGGTGAGCAATACTGAGGTTAGGGTCCGGTCGATCGCTATATAAGGAGAGAAAATCAATCGGGAGGTTGTGAAGTCACACCGATTAAGAGAGACAGTTAGAACATGTGTTACTTATGCCTAGCCATCGCCTTCCTTGACCGACGGGCAATGTTGGTTGACATAAGACGGATCAGGCTGGAAAAGAGTTAACCAGTGGTGGTCAAAGTAAAACATGGCGGCATCAGTCAATGAAATTCACAAAAATTCATCGACCATTAGATTGACTCCTGGCGGCTTAATAGTCTACGAAGTCACTAGCATTGTAACCAGAATGTCCTAGGTTTCGAATCTTAATGGGTGCTCACTGCTAAATAGTCCAGGTTTTCCAATAGTCTTCTAACCGGGATCAGTTCATGATGAAATCCTAAAAACAACCACAACAGTTAGTTTAAGCCATGTAGGAAGATGTAGATTGCCACGCTAGTTGGGGTACTCGGGATGATACGAGCCAGTGGTCAATGGCTCAGACGCATTCACTCTTTGTGACCTATAATATCCAATAAAATTCGATAACTCTTCCATATAACTATTCTTTTTGCGTCATATCTCCGTTTATTATCTGTCTTTTTAGCCTGCCTTTAGTCTCTTCTCTTACTTTGTGTGCTACATAGAGGGTGTGTGACAACTCGAACTGCTGCACATCTATGTAAAGTTGTATGTTGAAACCATTTATTTAGTCAGTCACAGCTGCATATTGTCTTACTTCTTGTTATTATTCCTTTTGATGTTTACAGATGTTGTAGCTCGTAATGCGGCAAAAGAATATAATGTCAGAATGACTGGTGGTCGACGTAAGTTAACTCTATTTCTTCCTTATTTCTGAAATTTATCATTATTCTAATGAATATTCTCCACTGAGATAGAAAACAGGGATTTCAGCAATAAACATTCTCTTTGCGACAATTTCATTTTTACAGCTGCACAACTGTATTTATATGTGGATAACAAAGGACAATGACAAACTTGAAATTAGTCAAATCTATGAAATTTCAGATGTCTGCCTGATGTTTTGTGTCAGTCAGGTGTCTTATGGTTACGCTACTCAAAGATTTACCTCCTCTTAATCGCGAACTCCTTGGTATGCGTTTAGAAAATCTTCCAAAGCAGAAACATTGGGAGAACGGGATGAAGGATTGATCTTAGATTTTCTGAACACATACCAGGGGGTTCGCAATTAACAGGAAGTATATCTTTGAGCAGCACATTCATGAAATCCAAAGAAACCAACACCTGAGAACTATTCTAATGCTCACGACTGGCTGACTAAAGGATGAAAGTGCTTGAAGTTCCAGTAGAAAGTTGCGATCAACAGGACCTACTAAGCAGGATGTGAGGACAAATACTCACCAATGACAGTGGCTGGTAGTCGTGTGTGAATTGGCTAAAGTTCAAATTCATGGGCCAGCCACTGAATTCCGTCCAGGTGACTCAATAGTGTTAGAACTCACCTTGTAGACTGAATTTCCTCATTTCGACATCTCTGGTGGGCTAATGCATGCGTGCTGGTGCTGCCGCTGAAGAGTCCCGAATCAGGATGAAACAGATTTTCAGTCCTCCCTGGTTTTCAACAGTTCTCTAACTGATGTTAGAAATCAAATCAATCAAATCTGTGCAAGCCCGCGGCCGAAAATAACAATTGTGTCTACTATGTGTCAAAACATTTCACAGTGAGTGGTAGTTTGGTGAGAGCTGTCTGCAAGACAAAACTGTAGACAACAGGTGACGACAATGTTTACGTCTCGAATCGGGGTCAGGAGAGAAAACAAGAACAAAGTATAACCTCGAGGAACTCAACAACCAATCACAGCAGACTTAGCGTGGACAGATACGATTCGCAGATATATGGCTTAACTTTCTAAGAAATGGTCACACGCAGCACAGAATAACATTCAGCAGGAAAACAACTAGTCAGAAGAAGCTGCTTCTCTGCTAACAATAACCAATAATAATGTATATAAAAATCTATCAGTCTCTCTTGATTTCCTTAATAAAAATTCTATTGCCTGGCCCTTGTCTCTGTCGTTACAGTAGCATTCAAGAGTGATGGTACTGGTGTAGATGACTGTGATCCACAACTTGATTACAAATACGAGCGATCAAGTAGAGGACAACTTAAAGTACAACAAACACCTGTAAATAAATGATAGGAAGATTAAGCAGATTCAGAAATATATATTTTTTGATTTGTCAGGTCAGATGCAATAAGATGGGAAAATGCCATGACTGAATTATCGTTAATAAAATAAATAAAATGTTAGAATAGGATAAATCAAAGTGTAATAAGAAAAGGCGAAAAATTATGGAACGACGTAGAGTAAAGAGGCATAGAGGCGTTTTGTCAAACACGGGGTAAAATTAAGTTGAAGGTAACGAAAGAGATTGTAAAAATTTCTTCTGCACGCAGAGTTCTGGCCTTATGTTTTGTATTGCCAAGCCTTGCGTTACACATATCAAGCCCACACGTATACCTTTCTGTAGATATTGTCGAACCTTCTAGACATTGTTGAAAAACACATCAGAAGCCGCTTATTTTAATAGAAGGCAATTAATAGCTCTAATTTCGTAGAAGATACTCGCATTTCTCATATCCGAATGCATTTAATCTCTCCAAGAAAATCAACATCAGCATCTATTTACTAATGTCTACTACAGACGGAACAGATGAGAATGTCAAATCCGCAGCAGGAAAAGGCAAGTCACACTTCCATCAGCACAGAAGTCTACTGCGCTCAGCATAAAGTAGAAACATTGGATTTTGAACACCAATGTTTAGTCAGTCACTTCTTGTGTATTGGTCAGAAATTTGGCTCCACGTGGTGTGAAAAGCCTGAAACTAGGACAAAACCGTCTGTGATTGTTGTTATCAATAAAAGGTAACACAAAAATAAGATAGAGAGGTGAAGACAAAGTAGTCCTACAGCCTATTTTGATGATTAACATGTTGCTCATAGGCTGCTAAACGAATGTAAAAACAACCTCATTGCTGCCGTTGGGATACTTTTGATAATCTAGTGAACTATAAATGCATTCGAAGGGAAGCAGTTTCTTTGGTATATCGACAACACAATAAGAAGACGTAGTTTATCTGAAACGTGTAATGTATTGGCGCAACACATTTCAAACATTCTGATCACACACGTACTTGTCATACACAGTTTTTATATAATGCAAGAAAGCATGAATAATGAATTGAATCTTTATTTACGAATGTACCTCTTTTACAGACGGTTGACATTTTATGCGATTACATCTCTGACAATTATTTCCTATTACCAGTATCCATTCCCTACTTAAAAGAGTTACTGCTTCTTTGTACTAAGAATGTTAAGTTTACATTCGAGGGCGAGCATTATTGCCAGATCGGTGTTGTTGCCATGGGAAGCCCCCTAGGTCCATTGTTAGCTGATATATATATGTCGCATGTCGATAACCTAGTGGATAAATAAATTGGAAAAGTTTATTTTTATAAAAGATATGTAGATGACATAATAGTCATTTGTGGTAAACCGACAGACGCCGTAGAAATCCTGAACCGGATCAACAGAGCACAAAACAGTACATCACTAACATACGTTAAAGAGAATAATGGATGCCTGCCATTTTTAGATGTACTAATAACCCGCCAAGAAGATGGGTCAGTAAAACGATCTGTCTACAGAAAGTCCACATGCACGGGACAGTACCTTAACTATCATAGTTTCTGTCCACTACAGTATAAGAAGGCGTTTGTTAAATGTTTGTTTAAGCGCATTCACCTTATAAGTACTGCCGATACAATTGAAGAAGAAAGGCAACACCTCACTGAAATATTGTTAGACAACAATTACCCACTGAGATTTATTAGACGTTACGGAAGTGTCAACCATAGAGCTTTACCAATCCAATCAGCTCCCAAAAAGGATGTTTACATATCCTTACCGTTCAGAGGTGATCAACAAAGTCTAGTCACTAGACAAAGACTCAAGGCCGCAATTAATAGAACCTATTATGCAGCTAAACTTATCTTCATAGAGAAAACGAGAACTATGCTGTTCTGTAAATCCTCACATCATCCGAACGATAGCGTCACATCCCACTGTGTTTATCAATTTACATGTATGTGTAGAGACACGTACATAGGGAGGACCCATCGGTCTCTGCAGGTTAGGGCTACAGAACACATTCCAAAGTGGCTGCAACAACAAATGAAATCACCGGACACAATTGAAACCGGAAATAGATGTCCAACATCATCTATAGCCAAGCATATTATAGAGACGGGTCACAAGGTTGACTTCAACAATGCTTTTAAGCCGAAATATAAAACAAGGTTGGGCCACATGCTTAAATTCATTGAAGCCTTAGCCATAAAAAGACTTAAACCTGTCTTATGTGTCCAAAAGTTATTTGCTTTCACCTTAAACCTGCCTTGGCAATCCAATTTATAACCAAGGACCAATTTACTTCCTAATACTTTCAACCCCTTCTTTGCCTTGTTTTTTCTCCTTTTATCTTTCTTACCCACACCTTTTGTGTCTCCCTACCCATTATTTGTGACCTTGACCTGTATACAATCTGACCTGTATTGTAATTATTCATGCCTTCTTGCATTATATAAAAACTGTGTATGACAAGTACGTGTGTGATCAGAATGTCCGAAATGTGTTGCGCCAATACATTACACGTTTCAGATAAACTACGTCTTCTTATTGTGTTGTCGAAATTCATAAAGGGAATTAATTGCTTTAAATCTTCGGTATATAAATACATATATGATTCAACATTCATGTGTTTTGTTTATGTGACTCAATCTTATAGCAAAAGAACTTTGCCGAGAAGAGAAAGAATGGCTTCGTACACGTCCAACAGGTCCTATACGTAAGTAATTGCATCAATGTTATTCCTCTATTCGAGAACTATTTGTTTACTGCAAAAGTGAAAAGTGTTGATGTTGGTTAGTTATCTTCATCACCTCCTTGACTTCTCTATGTTCACTTGGAGTGCTTGCTGTCTTTGTTGCTTCTTCAGCCAACAGCAACAACAACAACCAGTACCAATCACCATCAACAGGAGAGATTTGACAGAGGCTAGCTACTTCCTTCACATATCTAGGAAATACGGTTACAACCACAAGCAGTAAGTATGGCAGCACGGATGAAGATGTGAAAGCCAGTTCGAAAACCAGTTCTGCACTCTGCAGAATTAAAAGCAAGATCCCGATCTTCAACACAAATGTGAAGTCCGTCAGTCAGTCAGTTATTCTATGCGGGTCAGACACTTGCACTGTGGGCCCATTACGAAAAGCATTTTTAACAGGTTACTGCACAATTTTATCAACCACTGCATTCACTGGCTTCATATTGAAGATCAAATGGCCAGCCGGCCGACTGGCCGGAGAAAAAATAGCATCAAGGAACTCTGCCTGGGAACAAACCAACAAATATGTAGGATAAAATAGAGGTGGATCAGGCATACGTTGAGGAGACCGTCAAATGACATCGCGCCATCGCCAGACACTCGAGTGAAATCCAAATTTGTAGTGACATGGAGGAGATGGTGTATTGGGGAGGAGGAGATGAGCGATTATGGTCAGTCGTGGAGCTAACCAGCTGAAGAGGGCAACAGGGAGTAGAAGAAAGTTGAGATGAATTTTTGAAGCCCTTCCTGTGTTCCACGTGAAACCCAAAGGAATAATAATAATATTACAAGAATAGGTTTTTGATTGGTTTGCCACCAGAGTTCCTAGTTGCTTCTTCTTTCTGGCTGGCCATCGGGAGGAAGCAGCTGGTGATGATAAAAGTATGCGCTATCTGACACATGCGCGCCAAGTGTCTGAACTGTATAGAAGCACTGACTGACTGATTTGACATAAGTGTTAGGAATCTTGATCTTGCTACATGTGCTGACTGCTGTAGAACTGGATACCGATTTCAGAGTGCTGATTGTTCCTCTTACTCTTCTGTTACTGACTGGCTTTGACATCTTCATCCGTGCCACCTGTAATTAAAACGATGCTGCTGAGGTTAATGAAAGCTGTGCTTCCCTTTATGTTTCTCATTTTGATAGTGATTGCTGCTTGTTGGTCGTGAGGTGCTCTAGTCACTTGATCATAAACTGACAAAAGTTTGACAACCGTTGAAAAACCAGAGAGTACTGGATAGCCGTTCTGCTCTAGTATGAGACTCCTTTTCAGTACACAGCCATAATGATTTCAACCCAAGGCCTTTTGGTTACTAGACGAACTCGCTAATTAGCCTTCGCTTACTTCTACTTTCACCTCGAATGCTTCACTGACAACAATAATATAGCCTAATCGAATTTCTCTCGTTATGACTAGTTATTGAATCAACTTTATCTAGTAACTTGAAGTAACCAATAACTTCCCTGCATTATACCACATTAATGCTCCTTCCAGGTTATTTATTGTCAATTATTATTTCATTAAACACACTTGAGACGGAACTTAATCTTTTACCGCCAATTATGTCAGTTATCAGTGAAATATTTGATCCAGCATAAATGGAAGGAACCTGAAAGAAACAACCTCTTTTACCTACCGACCTGGGAAACATCATTTCAACTACAGGCGGACGGAGCTGATGAGGATATCAAAGCAAGAATCAGAAAATCAAGACATGCTTTCACTACTTTCAAGTCTGTGTGGAGGTCAACAGCACTCAGCATCAAAAATAAGATCCGGATTTTCAACTCCAATGTGAAGTCAGTCACTGCTACTATACGGATCAGAGACTTGCACTGCGCGTCATAAAGAGCATCTCAAACAAACTACAGACCTTCATCAACAGTTGTCTTCGCTCAATACCACTCAAGATCAGATGGCTGGCCAGAAAAGATCAGCAACAGAGAGGGATCTCTGGCAATGAGCGAACCAACCAGGAACCGATTGTGAAACAAATAGGCAGGAAGAAATGCAGATGGATTGGCCATACTCTGAGAAAACAAACCATCAAGTGACATCACTAGACAAGCCGTTGCTCGAGTGGAACCCGAAAGGGAAGCGGCGAGTTGGTCGTCAGTGCAAGGATGACTCGGAGGAGGTCATGTGAAGAGGAGATGAAAACGTTTGGGCAGACATGGAGCCAGGTGAAGACTCTAGCAGAGAACCGAACGCAATGGTGATGCATGGCTGAAGCCCTATGTTCCTCTAGGAATTAAAGGAAACAATAATATAATAATTTCATCCATCCAATGGCCATACGAAGTTGTCATTTATTCAAAGCTTCCTTCTGGTTGTTAATTACTAAGGTGCACTACGAATGTCATTCTTCTTGTCTGTCTGCTGCACTACCGATTTCTCTGCTACAGTTCAGTCGGAATTTAGTACTACTAAGCATGAAGGCGGTGACATTTGCAATGATCAGTCAGTATAAATATCAACAGTTTATTGCTAAAATACGCTTACTGCTCACATCATTTATATAATAATGCCAGATTTATGTATTGAATTTCATTAAATATTCCCAACATTCTTAATAAGGCTTGAAATTAGGGTGGCATTTAAACCAACCAACTCATTCCAAGAAACAGAATGGACTAACATGGATGCAGGTAAAAAGTACAGCAGAAGACAGAAACAAATGGAGACGTGCAGTTGAAGCCCTATGTTCCACTAGGAACCCAAGGGAACAATAATAAATAATAATAACTCATTCTAAAACAAACTCTGCCCGCCTAAGGATCCGATAGAATTAAATTATTATGATTATTATTGCCACCTTTAGTTCCTAGAGGGACATAGGGCTTCAGCTGCACGTCTCCAATGCGTTCGGTTCTCTGCCAACGTTTTCACCTGGCCTCACATCTGTCCACATACTTTCCTCTCCTCTCCGCATGACCTCCTCCATGCCAACCTTGCACTGACGACCAACTCGCCGATTTCCATTTGGTTGCCACTCGAGCGATGGCCTGGCGTGTGACGCCACTTGATGGTTTTTTTCTCAGAGTATGGCCAATCCACCCACCTCCATTTCTTCTTGCATGTTTGTTGTGCACAATTCGGTTCCTGCTGGGTTGGTTTGCTCATTGCCAGAGATCCCTGTTGATGATCTTTCCTGGCCGGCCATCTGATCTCGAGTAGTATTGAGCGAAGACAACTGCTGATGAAGGTCTGTAGTTTGCGCTAAGTGGCACCAAGTCTCTGATTCCTATAGTAAATAGCACTGACTTCACATCGGAGTTGATAACGCGCATCTTATTTTCATCCTGAGTGCTGTTGATCTCCATACAGACTTTAAAATAATGAAAGCTTGCCTTGCTCTACCCATCCTCGCTTCGATATCCTCATTAGTTCCATCCGCCTGTGGTTGAAACGATGCTTCCCAGGCTATTATGTAAAGGAGGTTGCTTCTTTCAGATTTCTCCCATTTATTCTGATTGTTGTCTGTTGTTGTTGCTGTTACTGCTGCTGTCGGCCAGGAATCTTCATCACCTCTGTTTTCTCTATGTTCACATGAAGTCCCATCTTTGATGCTTCTTCTGCCAACTTATTGATTTTCATTTGCATATCTTCCAGTTTGTGGGAAATCAGACATATACCATCGGCGAAATTCAGATCCTCCAAGTTTTAGTGTGGGTTCTTTTTATGCCTGTTTCCTCGCTGCCCGCTCTCTGTTGCATTATCCAGTCTACCGCAATCAGTCAGGAAAATCATTAGAGGTAGCAGGCAGCCATCCTTGTCTTACTCCGGTCTTCACTTCGAAGGATTCTGTAAGTTTCCCGTTGTGGATTACTTGGTATGCAGCGTTGTCGTACAACTGTTGGATGAGATGTATAACTGTTGTTTGCACCCGTAGTAGCGAAGTAGTTTCCAAGTCACCTCTCAATCGATGCTGTCGAAGGCCTTTTCAAAGTCAATGAAGTTGAGGTAGAGAGCTGACTGCCATTAGAAGTTGTATTCAATGACGATGTATAGTGTTGCAATTTGATCGATACATGACTTGTTTCTCTTAAATCCAGCTTGTTTCAGTCGAAGGCTTTCATCCAGGTAATGTTTCATTCTCTCCAGGATGATGCAGCTTAGTATTTTGCTTGGGACAGACAGGAGTATATTGCTGCACCAGTGCTGGCATTGACTTAAGTTTCCTTTCTTTGGCAGTTTGTATAAGTAACCTTTCTTCCAATCAGCAGGTTCCTTTCGCGCAAATATTTTGTAATGGTTTTAAAGTCAATTATATAGATGAAGCTGGTTATCGTGGTTACTTAGGCTATTGGAATATAGCAATTTTTCTAGATCCATAAGGATTGATCCTGCTAACTGATTTATAAAAAAGATCGAATACTGAAATGTACTCACTTACATGTATCCAGTCACATAGCAGAGAGTGGAATAGAATGAAAATTTTCAGAAACAACCTTTTAACCATTGGTTACAGAATTTCATCATGAGCTGACATTGGTTAGAGGACCATTGGGAAACCTGAGAGTACAACCAACCAACCAACACTTGAATATCGATGAGATGCTCACTGGCGACTTGCCCTATTCAGGTAGGTAGTTACTTGGGGTTCCAGTGGGAAGTCGTGACCAGCAGGGTGCAGCAGGTCGGGTGTGAGGACAAATACTCGCCGAAGACATTGGCTAGGGGTCGCACTATGTCTTGAATTGACAGAAGTTAGAATTCATGGGCCATTGGATTGGGTCCCAGTGGCCCTATGGTCTACGCGCTCACTAGTCTTGTAACCAGAAGGTGCTGAGTTCGAAACCCTGTGGTGGGTGCGTACTGATGAAGAGTCCCAAATTAGGGCAAAACAGCTGTCCAGTACTCCAAGGTTTCCCAATGGTCCTCTAACCGATTTTAGCTCATGATGAAATTCTGTAACCAATCAATCAAGTCCCTACAAACCAACACTTGAACATTTAACCATTGTTTATCGAATTAACACAAAATATCTACAATCTAAGTAATGTGGTACTTGTTCTGAATGTAATTAAGAACATATGAGTCAACAAAGGGATCATTTCTTATCGTAATTTCACTTGAGAGCTGTATGTAGAATGAAAATATAGGTCAAAGGTTATTAGCGGTTAGTAACAAAGTCAATCAAAGTGCATGAGTAATAGCTATGTTTGAAAACTAAAAATAGTAATCAGGTGGGTTGATAACTAACTATTTGAGTAATGAACAATCGTTCAGAAGTTGCTGATAAGATGCAAGAGAACAAAGGCTGAAATAGAGTTGCAAAGCCATTAACAAGACTACGTACAGCTTGTTACACAGAGTTATTCAAAAAGACAAAAAAGGAAGAAATTCCTAATTCCATGGTAGTGAAAGAGATCGGATAAAAAGTTTCTGAACACAAAGTTCAGGTCTGTAACATGTTGGAGATCCTTTTCGTGACGGGTGTGCAATACCAGTTTCTGACTCGTATAGAAGAAGAAATGATCGACTGACTTCACATTTGTGTTGAAAATCCGAATCTTGTTCTTTATGTCGACTGAGTGAGTGCAGCAGAAGATTTCCAAACTGGTTCATGAAGGTGTATTTCGCCTCTTCCGATTTTGACTTTGACTTCGTCATTCACTGCCTCTGAATCTTAAGAGGAAGTTGTTAGGAAAAGGTAGTTCTCCTGACTTTTAGCCATGTGAACACCAACCAGCAATTTTTTTTAAAAGAGTGATTTAGTCATCAAATCTCTGATATGGATTCATATCTAAAAGAAGCCTAAGTAACCCCTCTCAAGTTCCCCTCTCAAAAATGTGCATTACTTCCAGTGATGTTAGTGAAGTTTTGAGAACAATCGACACAAAACCTAGTGCTCATATTCACCTACACCAAGTAAGACGGTTAGAAATAGTCAGTTTTCTATTTGAAATCCTCGCAGTGAGCGACTGCGTCTGCTGAGCTCAAAAACCAGTTGGTTAGTCTAAAAAACGTTAAAATGTAAATGTCGATTCAATTTTGAATGTTTTGTTTGGAAGCGAACCCCATTTTTTTTCAAACTTTTTGTACAAATCTTAATAAAAACAATTACGTCATTTGAAAACTCACATACATAGTTTATATTTCTGTCTTTTTTTCAACAGGTTTTATCCAGAAAATTATAACTGCCAAAAGGAATTATAAAAAATGGAAACGGGTTAGTCCAATGTTTTATTTCTAATACGTTTAGCGTTATTATACTTCTCATTTATAAACACTAGTAACATCCCTGCATTCATGCAGCGGAAGTGTTCTTTACCAGAAATAAAAGCGCGTTTACGATCATCTGGTGGATTTCAACAGGACTGGATTGTCAAATGGCTGCATTCTTATTTCTCAGAAAGAAAGCAGTACACTGTATGTCAGGGGAAGTCGTCCACTTCATTCCTTACTGAGGCTTGTGTCCCTCAAGGCACTGTCCCTTCTCTATTTCTGTTTTCTTTCTTCTTGCATGACTTGCCTCACTCTGATGAAATGAACTTTGTTAAGTATGCCGATGATCTATCTATTTCAATGTCTGTTAACTCCCAGCTAGACCGTTCTCAGATGAAGAGCTTTCTATCAGGAGGCAGCAAATGGTCTTCGTCTAGTGGTTTTAAACTAAAGCCTTCCAAATGTCAGACCGCTAATTTCAGTTTCCAATGTAAAAGAAAGTTAAATGAGGCTGTTGGTTCCTATGACCGTTGCAAAATTGATGATAGTGATATAGAAATCAAGTCTAACGTTAAGTATCGTGGATTAATTCTTTCTACTGGCCTATCCTGGTCTTCCCATATCTTGGAGATTTTTAAAAGAATATTTCTTCTGACTTTTTACATTAGGAAGTTGAGGCACTCAGGCATAACTCAACACCTCCTCTTACAATTTGTCACCTCGTGCATTTTGCCTATTCTTCTTTACTGTTCATCCTTATTCTTTCTTTGATTGCTTAAAAAAAACTATGTCATACTTCGCAGAACTCTGAAGACTGTCAGTGGGGCCTCCCATTGGTCCATATAGTTCACATCGTCATTGATAGGCACCTGATGTCATGCAACAAATTTACTAGAGGAATCTTATCAGACTGTGAGCATCCACCGCAGCACCCGCGCTCCAACCTTGTGTCTCCTCAGATAAAAGTCTTTTCAGAAGACTTTATGCACGTACGTCTAAGTATAAAAATTCAGCTATACCATATTTGCACGTACTTTATGGGATGAAAAAAGTGTTAGGCACTAACTAAATAACCTTCTTTGTACTAGTGAATAAACCATTTCCTTCAACCTTGCAACATCAACCTTTATTGTTATTATGCTTCTCATATTTATAATACTCTCATTTTTTTGTTTTTATTTGCTTATTTTTTCATAAGTGTGGACATCATTTAACCTGTGTTATAACTGTTAATTTTTTCTTTCCCCTTACCATACTATATCAGCAGAACATTAGATTCAATTATCTATAGCATGCTAAAATTTCCAAACTGAATCGACAATACTGTTGGAAACAAACTCACTATTATTTTTATTATTGTTATAATATTCAATATTCTCAATTCGTACTTCAAATATTTTTGACTCTATATCGTAAACGCAGACAAATTCCTCTAGTTTATTTTGTTTTAATTTAATTATATTTTGAGTAAATCAGATGCAATATTGTGACAAATGCTGAGAATTTCATTCTGTATTACAAGTATTGTTTTTGGAACAAAGTAGATTATTATTATTAGTATACGCTGAGGTACCTAAGACAGCTGAAAAACCCGGTTTCCAAGCATGTGATGTACATGGGAACTAGAATCCTAACAGATCGAATGTTGTATGAGACTATCTCATTAGCCAGTAAGCGTCGGAACTCAGCTCCGCTGACTTGTAGATCAGACTTTAAATCAAAGGCAGGGTGGCATCTAAAGAAAACCACCTGCTTCGGCTTTGAAGTTTGGGCAGTATTGCAGCTCTTGCAGAAATTATAAGAGATTTCTTGTGATGCGTCTTGTGGTGTGTTATTAATGATAAAAACAGTAATAATAATAACACTGTTTTATCACTTTTACTTTCTACTAGATTACTGAAACGTCTTCATTGGCACAACAGGAACTTGATTTGACTATTTATCCAGCATTTTCTCAATCGGTGAGTTTTAATTTTTGTAGTTTGTTAAACCAATCTGAATTTCGAAAACCCTTACTTCTGTCTGATAACTGCGTTTTATTATTCTGTTGATATACTGGAGAAATTTGATCTTGAAGTGATTAGTAATCTCATTGGAAAAGTGTTGTCTACTGTGCTAAACTACTTATAAGTAGCAAGACGAATTTGAAGTAAATGTCATGACAGCCTACATCCTGATTAACTCTATACATCCATAAACTGATGTATAACATAAGAAATAAAACCAAGATCATAAAATGAGTTTTGTAACCTTCACCCTGAAAAAGGCTTTGAAAATAAGCCTTCGCCACTGATCATCATACATGTTAGTAGGTATTTCAGTGATAGAATACTCACCAACTATGGTCTAGGGTTCGATTACTGGTTGACGCCCTCCTAAACCTCTCTTAGTCGGTAACAAGCCCGGTAAAAAGGGGAGGTTGGGAGTGTGGCCAGAAATCCCACTTCATAAAAAATAAACACCACTGCTATTGAAACCTCAGAAGTTAATCTTGGATCCTTGTGTTGGAACACAAAGGAATAACAAAAACTGCTCAAATATAAAACGAAATGAATTTTCAGGACTTCACTAGGAACTGGCACCGGCTAGAGAACCAGTGGAAAATCAGCTGGGATTACTTGTTATCTACTTCGCCACAGCATGAGACTCTTCAAAGGTAAGCACCCAACTCCAGGGTTCGAACACATGACCTTCTAATTACAAGGTGAGCCCGTAGACCATTAATCCATGGAGAACCGACCTAATGGTCCATGAATTTCAACTTCTTCAATGCATGATGTAGGGCGAACATTGGCGCGAATGTCATCGAGGAGTATTTGTTCTGTTACACCGAAATGAAGAGTTACCTTGGGAAAGGCTCATGTAATCCACCTATGTTCTGTGGAAGAATTCTAAGATTAGACTATAATATGCAGATCATATTGTCGTCTTCTGAACATCCCAAGTGAAATTCCCATGTTTCTGACATTCACTTCAACACTTTGTCAGAGATAAACTGGTGCTACGGGATTTGCCGACACCAAATTCCAGTCTGACGATAAGGAGTGAGGTGATTAAGGTTGTTCATCACATTCTAACAACAAAAGACAAGGGCCAAGCAACAGATCGTTTATTAAGGAAATCAAAGCATATTTATATATCTTCATGTACATTATTATAGTTTAGTTAAGCAAACAAACACAGTCTTCTGATTGGTTGTTTCTCAGTTAAGGTTATTCTTTCATCTCTTTGTGACTGTTTCTTGAATGTCAGATGGTCTATATGTTAACTGTATCCGCCTACGCAAAGTCTGCTGTGGTCGATTTTGAATCAGTCTTTGATCATATTTTCTCACGACAAATCTAGAGAACGTAAACATTGACGTAAATTACTGTTTACCAATTTGGCTAGCAGACAGCTCTCACCACAACATTAGCTTATTTGAGAAATCGCATCATACACGACCAACTGTCTGATAACATTACAGGACTGGACTACATTGACTCCTAGATTAGAAATATGGAGTGAAGTCTTAGAAAGCGCTGACCACTTCACTCATTTGGGAAGTTTCATCAGCGAACGCCAACGAATTGATCGCTGACGAAATCTCATCATGGATACAGAAGGCCCATTACGCATGTGCCATTTTATGCCGTCTCTGGCGTAGACATGATATCCTATTGGTTGTCAACCGAAGGGCGTGAGTACTGCTGAACGGTACTCTCCGTCCTCCTTTATGACTGTCAGACCTGACCACTGAAAGTGGAAGACATGAAAAGGTTAGCTCTCTTTGATCATAGGTGCCTGCGTTCTATCTCCTGTGTGAAGTGGTATCATAGGTTGAGCAATATTGAGGTTAGGTTTTGATTGAGTGCTAGGTAAGGAGGGGAAATCAATAGACGAAGCTGTGAAGTTATTTCGAATGAGATGGTTAGTAAATGTGTTACGTATGCTTAGCCATCGCCTTCCTCGACCGACGGGCAATGTTAGCTAACACAGGACTGATCAGGTTGGAAAAGAGTTAGCTAGTAGTGGTCAAACCAAAACATGGCTTCCTCAGTCAATGAAATCCACAACAGTTAGTTTAAGCCGCGCAGAAGGGTGTAGACTTTCTGGTTGGGGTCCTTAGGGTGGTAAAAACCTACGGCTGGAGACAATTGGTAATATGTCTTGATATCGTTCTCAATGGCGCAGATGCACCCACTCGTTGTGACTTATAATATCCAATAGAACTATATGGTTCTTGGATATTACTATTCCTTTTGACTCATATCTCTGTTTACTGTCTCAGTTTTCCATTTCTTTTGCTTTCTTCTCTGGCTTTGTGTGCCACATGGAAGGAGTATGGCGACTTGAACCGCTGCACATCGGTACAAAGTTCTACGTTCAAAGCAGTCAGTCAGTCAGGACTGTCTGACGACAAATGTAAAAGGCTTAAGACCCACATTTTATTCAACTATTTTACTTTGTCAGTTTTACCACAATCCTGATAATTTGACTGAGACACTTTTTTTGCTGAGAATCTAATTGTTATCCTGTCCTAAAAAAAACTTAAACTTTATTTCCTTTCAGACAATAGAAACCCCTTTGCATAATCTCTACCCTTATCATTACAATATTCAAGATAAACTGAATAGATTTGCATCTCGGCTGAATTCAGGCATATTTGAAACACTGACAACAAAAATTCAACAATTAGACACACTGATTGACTACAACTCTAAAGAAACAGATCTTTTCTATGAAAATCAATTTGTCGAAGAACAGCGTATTATCCGGCAAGAAGCAGAAGCAGAAGAAGAAGAACAGCGGCAAAGATCTGATTCATCTGGAAAACCCACAATGATGATGACTAAAGACGAAGAACGTCAGCGGCAAGAGAAAATTTTATTAGAAAATAAAAAATTAGTTGAATCATTCGATGAATATGTAAATATGCGTAAAAGACTGAGAGATGAAGAAATGATGATGGAGAATTACAAAAGTTAGTTCACTTTCGTTTGCTTTAATTTAACTCTTAAATAATGTTAAATATTCCCATAATAAAATTTAGAACAACACATTTAAGCGAACAATACTGTCTTCAATTAGATCTCATCAGGCTTAACTCTAATATATATAAGTTTACAAATAAAAATTCAAATATAAACCAATCATGGTGTTTTGTCCATAGGATAATACGAAGGTGAATATAAATTGTGCAATTAGTCATAATAGTAGTAATGGTAATAATAATAGTAATGATAGAAATGGTCTTATCAATAATAAGGATGAAAAAATGATGCAATGTGTGATAACACGAATAATGAAAAATGAAAAACAGCATGATTAAACAAACAAATACATCTCCTGGATGTCTTGCTAAGTAGGAGAGAAGATGGGTCACTTGGGAGAAGCGTGTATAGAAAAAGCACTTTCACAGGGCAATACACACACTTCCTTAGTAACGTGTCCATTAAATATAAAAAGAATGTTGTAAAATGTATTGCGAGCAGAGCAAGAAAGATATGTACGTAAGAAAGAAGAAGTACTGTACGTAAGAAACCTCTATTTATTAAGTTACAATTTAATGGTGACTTATCAAGTGAGATTCTATTCCAAAGATTTTCAAGGAGGATACGGAGAACTTTTTATGCAGCACACCTATGTTTGTCATTCTCTAGCCGACGAATGATTCGGACGCAAACGAAGGATAAGCTTGATAGCTTTGCCACATCTATGTGCATTTATCAATTCAACTGCACCTGCGGTGACAGTTATATTGGGTGTACTACTAGACGGCTTAGCCAACGTGTAAGTGAACATCTCCCATCGTGGTTTGGTAAAGGACAGACAAAAACAATTCGTAGCTCAATTTTGTCACACTTAATTGATAGTGGTCATGTAATCGAGAAAACGAGAGCTTTCCAAGTAATTCATCGTATCCCACCGAATCTTTCCAATAGACTTCGTATTCCTTTATTGCACACAGCTGAGGCGATAGGCATTCGAACTATTAAAGCTAAATTATGTATTCCAAAAAAGTTCGTAGAGCCATTATCCCTCCCTTGGCCTATTAAGACATAACCAACTAATGAATTCTACACCACCCCTTGTTTATATTTTCAAACCCTTTCTTATCATCCCTTAATCTTATCTTCATTATAAACGTGTTTCATTTCCTTCCCTTACAATCTAACATCACTCAATCGGTTCATTTGTTTTTACTAGCCTTTATCGACTACTTCCACCTGAACAGTTGTTTGTTTAATCATGCTGTTTTTCATTTTTCATTATTCGTGTTATCACAGATTGCCTCACTTTTTCATCTTTATTATTGATAAGACCATTTCTATTATTACTATAATTATTATTATTATTATTATCATTACTACTATTATGACTAATTGCACAATTTATATTCACCATCGTATTATCCTATGGACAAAACACCATGATTGCTTTATATTTGAATTTTTATTTGTAAACTTATATGTATTAGAGTTAAGCCTAATGAGATCTAATTGAAAACAATATTGTTCGCTTAAATGTGTTGTTCTTAAATAATGACAGGATTGACTGACTTATTCACATGTAGCTGAAATTTATCACTTCGGCAAGGCCACTATATATTTCTTCGTTCATTTCTCATAATATAAAGGGGAATGGGGAAAGTATAAACAACGGGGAACTCTAGCAGCGAGCCGACCAACAATCTACTGCCCAACAGATATAATAGGGGAAATGGAGATGAATATGAAACACTCTGAACAGACCATTGAGTGATATCGCTTGCCAAGCCCTCTAGTGAAGTTCGTGTGGAAAATGAGGAGTTGAGCGTCCTAGGGTGACATACAAGAGATTGTATGAGTAGGAAATGGAGACTTGTGGGTAATCGTGGAGCCATCTAAGGGCGGCTGAAAAATAAAAATGGATGAAATGGAGGCGCGTTGCTGAAATCCAATGTTCTACTCGGAACTCAAGGGAACAACAATGATAACAGTAATATAGAAGGTCATAGTTGATTTAGGAATGACTCGAGTTCGTGTGTGATCACGTTTTTTCTGTATGCCCTTCTTTCGTTTGAGACCATTCCTTGTCCTTTTGACTGGAATTTAAGACTTCGAAATTTGATTTTTTTTTCAGGAGCAGTCCATTTTGCTAAGGTAAATGTTGCTAGCCTCACGGCCAAACTCCCCACTTTTCCGTACTTACTACTGGTTGAGGTACGAATCTGTATCTCATGCGTCGCTGGTGAGCTTTGTACTACTGTAGCACTGACACATATTCTGTGGCATAATCATGTCGGTTGCCTTTTACACCAGTAGACCAAATGTGCTTAGATATGTTGATATGAGCATATATATATATATATATATTATTCATTCCTCGGGCTCGCGGTGGAATGTGACGCTTTACTGGCACTTCTCCGTTACATTAATCTCTGTCACCGTTTCCAGCTTGCCCGTCGACTACCCACAAGCCTTCACTTCCTCTGCACACGTTCTACTCCATGTCAGCCTCGTACCTACAACTGTTCGCTTACTTTATGAGTCACAAATGAGGTCCAGACTTTTGATGTCATTGAGCGGTCATTACAGAGTATATATACATATATATTTGTTGGGGGATAGGCTTTTAGCTGGTTCTCCGCCTATCAGAATTCCTTGTTGTTAATCTTTTCTGGTCTTCAGTATCGAGAGAAGGTTTCTGTTGGCAAAGATCTGCAGTGCTTTGAAAACGCTTTTAGTAAATTATTTTCAAATTTTAAAGTAAATATAATAATAATAATTTATATTTCGTATAAACGGGTCAGTTTAGAAGAAATGCATGCCATTTTTACAGGCACGATCAGTAATGTTACAAATTACAATCCTGAAGTATCGTAAATTAATACTTTTTCAAGAGTTTAAATTGTTCAATTATTATACAAGCAATCAGAACAGGTTCTTATAAATGCTAAATTGTAAACCGTTTACTAAGGTCACCATCAAAGTTGAGCGACAACCCAAAATTCTTTCCGTTTCCTGCTGATAGTTATGGTCAACGAGTGAACAGCGTATATCTGTGTGAGTGCTATACCACCACGTGATTGAAGAAAATTCTGCGCAGCTGCAAAATGGTATAAAATGCAGTTATGAATAATACATTATTGAAAGTATATTTACAAGATAAATACAAGGGGAAGAAGCTATATAGTACTTGGAATGATAGTATACATTTGCAATGTTTAATGCTAACCATATTGGTCTAAGCATGGAAACTTTCACGTTTCTGATGCAAATATAGCTTTCTTCAAACATTGGTGTTGTTGTGTTTTTAATCAAAGCAACCAAACTTAAAGCAAGCAACAAATATGAACAAAGAGCAAGTTTTAGCTTCAATAAAGGCCTAGGTAGTTAAGATCAGATAGAGTATAATAGTGCGTAAATAAAAAGATTATTGTGAGGTAGGTAAGTGATATTTAAGTGAGGAGTGAATTCAAGGATCTGGAAAATTAAAACCCGTAGAAGAAGCTGACCTGTAAGATGCCTCACGAATTTCTGTAGGGCCCAACGGGTAGCATCTTGACAAGAAGCTGAACAGGCTTGTAGATGGTAGGAGCAAAAGCACTTTTTTTATTTATAATTTAGATCTGTACAACCCTTATTATTTTTTTTTGTTGAGGGTCCAGACTAATGTTTAATTCTCGAGCTGTCAAAAAATGCATGTTGCTGTCCTACAGATTGGAGCGATTCACAATTGTGATCACTACCATATCTACTTATCAGCATGCGCCACCCTCCCTCCTTCAAAGTTGTAGACATATTTTGATGATTTTTTATGGTTAGTTAGGAATATCAGGTTTAGCAGAGTATCTTATCGACTATCTGTAAACGTCTAGCTTCAAATTTAAGTGCTCAACAAAATCATGAAATTGAAGTGACTATTGATATTGAATATGTGAGTGAATGCTTGTACCTGTTTTGCTATGCCAACTGATTGGTGTGCACTCCCAATCCTAGATACACTTTATAATATCATTTCAGAATGAGCATTAACACAGGATTCACATTCGATGGTTACACTTCGACATCAAATACAATCAGTGTAGTAATATTTTATAAGTTTCCAGACCGTAGGTGTTACGAACTTCTTGGAATAATTTGAGCGCCGAGTCAGATTGATTCATTATAAATTATTTAAATTAATCCCAGCGTGTTTAGGGAAAAATCAAAACATTTTTTCTGAACGTTTCGCTGTGTAAGCTGCCAAAGCTTCTTCAGCAGATTTATTCGGATTCACAAAGAAAGATTGACCTCTGAAGCCTCGCACATTTTAACCACATCGAATGCAGTGAATGGGAAAGACGGGATAGACTTATCACCTACCTATATGGCAAACTCTTATGAAGCAAGACAGAGGAAAAAACAATAAACACTCTTTAAGCCTCCATGACCTTTTAAAAAAATGAAGTACCATGTTTATCAAGTGTGAATTCACGTCTTTTCCATATGACAAATAACATATATACATACACACACACACTCATACAAAACTAATCTTTACAAATCAACTATAGAAAAATTTACACAACAACAATTTGACATTAAACCATGGAAAATTCCCATTGTAACCTATAGAAAATCACAACAAATGATTCAGCGAAGAGACTCTTCAACGAATTTATCATCAAGCTGTACAATCGTATTTGAAGTCATATATATACGGTTTTTAAGAAGTTATATCCGGTGAGGGAATTGAATCGTAGGTGTGAATGCATAAAATAACAATAATATTAAATGCTAATAAAACTAAAATGTTTGTGATTATAATCGTAGTTAAATGTCAAGTGGCAAAGCAAATTAATGTCATATATAGAATAATTCATAGGATGGATAGAACTTGAAAAAGGTGTGCAATTATAAGATTAGTAGACAAATCGAATAAAATAAAAACGTTACGTAATATTGTGTGAATTTAATGTTGTAAAAAAGGAATTGATTTAGAATGACAAGTGGAACAAGTGAAATAATACCGGGGACAGTTCAAAGTGAGAGTAGTAATAGTAACAATTGACGTAATAAGGAAGAGTATACAAATTAAATAGACAAAAATGAAGAAAATGAAAAATTGGTAGAGCTAAAATATGATTGGGGGTTACCATACTTTAGCATAGAGGGATTAAGACCATGAAAGTTGGAGGGGTTGAGCGAACTTTTCTGTACACAGAAATCTAACTTCTCTGTTTCGATAACCAAAGCTTCAGCAATACAGATGAGTCGGGTACGTAGTGATTTGGGTAAATTACTCTTTGCCTTGTAGATGACTTTAAAGGCGGAGGTTATAGAGATAGGGTGATCATTACTGACCAGATGTTCAATGATCGCGCTTCTTATTGCTTTGTCACTTGACATTTAACTACGATTATAATCACAAACATTTTAGTTTTAATAGCATTTCATATTATTGTTATTTTATGCATTCACACCTACGATTCAATTCCCTCACCAGATATAACTTCTTAAAACCATATATATACGATTGTACAGCTTGATGATTAATTCATTGCAAAGAGTCTCTTCGCTCAATCATTTGTTTTGATTTTCTATAATTTGACATTAGTCATTGCAAATATATGTGATGACTGCTTACATACTTCTATTGGTAAGAATGTCCATGGACAAATGACCTTCAAATAAACTGACTTCAATTTATGTAAAAATTTTTGACTACATATTCTGATAATTAATAAAAAATCCGAACAAATCTGCTGAAGAAGCCATGACAGCTTACACAGCATAACATTCAGAAAAATCTTGTTTTGATTTTCTTAACACTCTGGGATTAATTTAAATAATTTATAGTGTACTAATAGTTAGGTAGTATTATCATTATTATTATCGTTCCATTCGCTTCTGAGAACAATGATGTGAAGAAGCCTTAAGGACAAGAACCCGCATCTAACCACTTCTGTGTGCACATATATCAGTTTACCTGCTGTTGTGGATATAAGTATAAGACTTGGACACTGTGGTAGAGTATAACTCCATTTTGGATAAGATTTTATTTTGATAAGTCACGCAGTGTTACACAGTAATATTAACTGTTGTGGAGTCAGGTACATTGGTCGTCTGGCTCGTATTCTATCCAAAAACGCTTAAGAATTCTATCCCGCATAGCTACAAAAAGGTAATAGTGATGGCATGAAGAGTGCGATAATCGAACATCTCGTCAACACTGGCCATTCCATCTCAACAAACGCCTCCTGCTTCAAAGTGATCTACAAACTGAAGAACAACCTACTAAGCGCAATACGCTTTCGTCTCCTTTGTTGTATTGCTGAAGCCTTAGTCATTCAGTTGGAAAAATCAGAGTTATGCATACAAAAGAAAATCATCCAACCACTTCATGATAACAACCGTGTTGACTTCTACTGACTTGATGTGTGTGCCCCTTGTAACACTTGTAGTTTTTAGAATTCTTACATAACTTCATATTTTCCCTTGTTTCTATGTGCATCCTAATCACAACTCACTCATTGAACTATTCATCTTATCATGGGACTGTATGACGCTTATTCAACTTTAATGTGTTAATAAATATGTTTTTTGGCAAGATATCACCACTACCCTCTTACCAGTCTTCACCCCCACCCAACACTAGTTATAATTTAATTATTCATCACATTTTTGAAATGTCTTGGCAACAATAACCCAAACTTATTTTCATTCATATCGGATAAATCGAATGTACCCACACATAAAAAAATAAGTATATGTAATTGCGATTGTACAGCTAAGTGAATCAATTAGCCAAAAAGCTACTCTTCGCTGAACTACATGTTTCGTTTTCATTATTGTCTAGATGGGGATTATTCATTAACACAGGGATTCATCAGCATATTTCAATTACGTTCCGTTCTCCACAGTCCTCTATGGCTGGCTCCACGAATATCCACAGGCTTTCACTTCCTTCTCACATCATCTTTATCATGTCACCCTCGGTCCTACGCTCAACTCCTTATTTCCCATTCGGGTTCCACTCAAGAACGTATTGTGTAAGCTCACTCAACAGTCCTCTCAGCTTATGCTCAGTTTATCCCGATTTCTTTCTGTGCATTTCTTGGACGATAGGTTCTTGGTTGGTTCGTTGTTAGAGCTCCTCGTTTTATATATTTTCTCACACGTCATCCGATCTTCAATAATGATAAAAAGTGGCAGTTACTGATGAAAATCCCCAGTAGGGAGTTGGAAATGTTTGACATGCATAGGGGTTAGGACGCTCGCCGACCATGCACATGGTCCGGGGTTCGATCCCCAGCCGACGCACTCCTTTACCTCGCTAAGCCAGAAATAAAGCTAATAAAGAGGAAAGGTTGGGCATGAGGCTAGCAACCCCATCCTGTAAAATAAACACTGCTACAGAAACTTCAAGCCTCTAGGTTGAAGCCCTATGTTCCACTGGGAACGTGAAGGAATAAAAAAATGCTTGACACGACTCCAAGCCTCTAAACCGTATAGACGCACTGAATTGACACTAGTAATCCGTATTTTGTTCCTTATGTTCATTGGTGTAGATCTCCATAGAGATAAATTATTATGGAGCCAAAAGTAATAAACTTTCTATGTATTTGTCCATATATGAAGTTTGTTCAACGAGACTTAAGAGGCATGTCATTCAATAATCCTTCAAACAGTTGGATTGTACTGACTAGTGGATGTCTCTATCACTTTCTGTTACAATCTACAATTAAAAAAATTACAAAGTGTAATAAACACGAAGATCGGATACAGAATATCATAAGGTAGATTGGTTGTAGTGTTATCCTAGAATTATTACAGGTCAAATTAGTAAAATTACATAATAAATGGATGAGAAAATCCCAGAATAATTTTCGGTCAGGCGTCAAATTAATGAAATTACAATTAGGAATTAAAATGCCATAATAAACATGAGGGATGAGACGGATAAAACTCAAACAAAGTAGCATCATAATTGCTGAGAAGATTGACATATTGTGCAATTAGGGGTTAGAAATGTAGAAATGGCCATTGCCATAACAAACAGGTAATTCTTTTAATAGTGACTATCACATTACCTTTCTTATCCAAACTTCCTGTTTATTCATGTTATTTTTAAGTTCTTAATTCCTATTTACACTATTTTTGTTATTTCTACATTTCTAACCCCTAATTGCACAATATGTTAATCTTGTCAGTAATTACGATGCTACTTTGTTTGAGTTTTATCTGTCCCACATGTTTATTATGCCATTTTAATTGCTAATTGTAATTGTATTAATTTGACGCTTGACCGGAAATAGTTCTGGAACTCTCGCACCCAATCCACAATTAATAGTGTTACCATAGTTATTTTCGTCCGGAGAGTTAAACAAGTAGCTTAAATGAATGACACTTCGTATGCCTACTGTCAAATCTTCTTTGCTATATGATGACCCTACCTTTCCCAAATTCCTAATTCTAGAAGTTTCTTATTATCCTCACTGCTTTGAAATTGATTTTATCTAGTTGATTTCTCAGAAATAAAGAAAGGTCAACATCATCTGCCTACATATGAAGTCAGTGAAGTCGAACAGATCATGGACACTTTGAATTCAGATGAGTTCAGGTACGTTTCTGAAGTATAATACCTTTGAGATGCTTAATCTCTGTTGCTAATTGGGCGTTTTCTCGTAGTAACTACGCAGTATTTTAGCCATTTTAGTCCACTAATACTAATGCAATTCTCTTTCAAAAATCATAGCTGAAGATGTTCGCATAGAAAGTCGATAATTTGTTGGAAAAATGGAACAATCACACGTCAACTACATTTTAGTCAAATTCCATCATGAATTGAAGACCATCAAAAACGAGGTAGTATTGGACACCTGTCTCGCCCTAGTTTGAGACTCTTCAATGGTACTCGCCAGAGATAGAACCTAAGGCCTTCAGATTATGAGGTCAGGTCCTTGGTCAATCAGTTACTGGAATGGAATCCAGTAACTGGCGTTTAAATGCTAACTTCTGTCGATACACGATTCTTAACTGCATCGCCAGTCCAGGTGAATATGTTTTCGTCATTGTAAAAAATCTTGAATCGTGCGATTTACTGTCTCCAGACAATCTTTACTTCACTGAATAACATCCCACTTTTGTTTGATCGTCCCTAATTCTTCTCCAACGCAGTCCCACTTGAGCCAGCATAGCGCACAACCTGGTATCCTCAATCGATGGACTGTCATAATCTTTTCCACTGATTTACACCTCACCTAACTGTCGAATTCTGCAATTACATTTATATTACACTGTGTCGGTGGCACAGTGGTTAGGGTTCTCGCCGACCATGCACATGGTCCCGGGTTCGATCCTCAACCCACGCACACCTGATATCAACTGGTCGGCCAGCTAAATTTTGGCTGCCGATATCACATGCTGAAAATTCCATACTTGTACCAAAAGTACTGTGCGGAATCAAGCTATTATCAAATAAAATAAATAAATGTTATGTTTTGCTTCTTTGAATCGTTTATTTGTCAATAGCTGTAACTGCCTACCTTCCATTTATACCCTAAATTATCCTTCGAATATTGTTGATGTTTCGCCTCATCTCAGGCACAAGTTTCATCGCTGAAAATGTCTCACTAGATATACTTCATTATAACATAAATCCTTGAATAAATCAATGGCGCCATGCTTGAATCATTGGGCTACCTGAATTCCTGTTCAATACAATAAATGCATTATATTTTCGCTAGTTCATATTGTTTTAACCTTTCGATTATGTAACTGAGTCACAAAATTTACTAATGCGTCGGTGGCACAGTGGTTAGGAATCTCGCCGACCATTCATTTGGTCCGGGGTTCAATCCCTTGCCGACGCACACCTGAAATCAGTGATCGGCCTGCAAAATTTGGGCTACCAATATCACATGCTGAAAATTCCATATTTGTACCAAAAATACTGTGTGGTTTCAAGCTATAATCAAAGTACAAATAAATTTAATTGGCTTTCAAACAACCGCCGTGCATTTCTTGGAGATGAAAGAAAAACGTCATAGGGGATTAGTCTGTTCTTCAGATCGAACAGCATTGCGTCACACAATGAAATACTATGGATTGCTACTATACATGAAGATCCTGGATGACGTGAAAATATCATGCAATAAGTTACCCCGAGAATCCTGTACACTGTGCAGACATTTTGTTCGGAATAAAGCCGTTATTATCATCCTAATACATTAAATTATCATTTTTGTTTATTAGTACTGAAGAAACAGCAGACGACATACAAGGTGAAGACGGAGAGATCGGGCAAGAAGGAGAAGAACAAGTAGAGACACATGAAGAAATAACTACCCGCTCTAATGTATATTCAAGAATTCTAGTCTTACACGATTTAATGCGTGAACACATAGGTCTCAAACGAGATGCTAAGGTAAATAAATTCAAGTTAAATTATGAAATTTGCTTTGTTTTCTTATTAATGTATCAATGTATTCTTTGTGCATATTAGATGTTTGGAGGCAATCAGCCACAGGAACTCTTGAACCTAAGTTTCGTGCTGGTTGGCACTCAACAGTCAGCAAGGAGTATCTGCAGCCTTGAATGAACTCATGTCTTTTCCGAGATTCTAACCCGAGTCAGCCAGTGATGCAGTCGGTCAGAGACGTCACCACTGAGCTATTTGGGCTCGCGATTGACCTTCTATAGAACTTTATTAGATACTTTGGTTTAAAAGAAGGTAGTTAGTAACTAGTGTAATGTGTCTAGTCCTATCTTTGGTGCAGACTAAATTCTATCAGTCCTAGTTCGTCATCACGGAGCACCTTTAATTGATTTAACTATCTAGTATCCAATCGCGGTGTTCAGCACAGTTCTACAGAAGGTGAATCCCAAACCCGAATAGCTCAGTGGTAACGTTTGTGATTGCATTACTGGATTACCTGGGTTCGACTATCAGAGAAGAGATGAGTTCCTTCAAAACTGCGGATACACCTTTCTGACTGATGAGTGCTAACTAGCACGAAACCTAGGTCAGGCAAAGCTTCTTGCGGATTACCTTCAAATATCTAATAACAACAATTCAGAGTGCATTGTGATGGTGAACCAACTAGCCTGATGGTGGGCACATTGCAAACTTGACTGACAGAATTCAGTCTGCATCAAAGAGATGACTAGACACATTGCACTACTTACTAACTAGTGTCCAGTCAAAATGTATTCTTTCTCTATGTATGTTTATGTACAAGTAATCTGTTAAGTTTAGGTGTTATCGGTAGTCTGGACACTGTTGGTAACCAGCGTTTTATGCTTCTAGGTGTTCATCAGAAAGATATGTGTATATTTGTGACAGACATCATTTAGCAGTACAGTTTAAGAAATAACTGTTTAGAGACAAAACCATTGAGTTCTTTGGAATTAAACATTTTACATATGTATGTTTGAAATAGTATATTAGACCATTGTAAGCAATCGACAGGAAGCCCTGGATGATGTGACTGGTCAGTAAGACATATGACGACATATGATGAAGGAACTCTTGTCCCTCTTGGGATTCAAGCCTGCATAACTCTGTGCTACAGTCAGACAGACCACCACTGAACTGTTTATGGTGACAATTGACCTCTAGTAGAAATGTAATGGAGATATTGATTTTTCACAAGTTAGTAACCAATGTCTTTCGTCCAGCACTTGGTGTTGGTGCAGACTGAATTCTATCAGTCAATTTTGAGAAGCGATCAACAAGATAGGTGGCTTATATATTAAAATGTTTATTTTTTTAGTTACTGCTTATCGTAAAACTGAAAAGTCTAACTTTATTGAAATGTACCTCAACGCTCAGTCATTGTCCTTAATGGTGATTGGTGGTTAAATGGCGAACCACTATTTTAGCATCCAAAGCAGAATACCAAGCTAAAATATGATAAATATTGAGCGAAGATTTTCTTAGCAATAGTGTTCAGACAATAATCCCAATTCCTGGCAATAATACCTTTAGTAAAAAACAGTAATTTGATGTATTTTGTTTGCTTAATTGAAAGCATTTTCCACTGTGGCATCAAAATCAACTGGAGAAGAATCTTAATAGGTAAGTAATTATTGAACTGATATCCCGTCCCAGTTCTAAGCCTGATTGGTGTACACAACTACAACGCCATACGTAATCAGACTCTAGAGGTGTTACTTCTTGTAATCGTTACTTTGAAGTCTACTCCCCTAAGATTTGCATCTGAAATCAGTTTGTTATGTACCATGAATTAAAGCTACTTGTAAAACTAAATGACTTCATTTATTTATCTTTTTATTAACTTTCCTTTCTGTGCGTTTTTAAATTAAGATTACGCCCGCTTTTGTATGGTCATATTTCGAATTATTAAAACAAATGAAGAGGCAGGTTCAACCATCAGCCGTCTTAGATCAAGTTGGCGAAGACAGTACAAATTCATCAATTAATATCACAGTTTAATAAAATTTATCAACTGCGGATAACTATAATGATGAAGAATAAATTGAAACTTGAACTATGTGACATTTTTTAAATATTATGAATATATGAATTATTTTTCACTAATGAGGTCAAGTTACTATTTTCTTTAAATAGTTGTTCGCGGTATTTGTTTCACTCCTTTTTAAACAGTAAGGGTTTTTCAGACATAACTAACTGTTATTCAAATTTGAAATATGCATAGGGTGTTCAATCTCTCCTCAGATGTATTAACGAAAGAGAGTGTAAGAAAAGCCTTGCGTAAACTTCTATTGATTTCCTTTACACTTTCATTGAAAATCGATCTCAATTATTGTATTCTCAATACATGAGAACACTACATTGTCTGGAGAAGAGTTATTCAACAGTGTTTAGTGCATAAGTGAGAAATTAATCAGGGGATTAATAGGCATATTGCAGTCAGGTAAGACATGTTTAAATCCTAAGTATACTTCTGAACAGTTATAAGCACAACACTTCCTGCTTGTTATTTGGGCAACCCAGTTCTCAAAGTGAGGTAGTTCAGGTCAAATGTTAAGCCAGTTATGTGATAAAGCCTCCGATTTGCACGGAATATGTACCTATACAATAGCCATGACAACATCTATTGAAGGTCAACAAGCAAACAAGCTCGTAGTACTTCAAGCAGTATAGTTGACAGTGACTATATCAACATACGGGTACTGCAGAAATACCGCATAGAAGTAACGTTATAAACTTAGTTTATGTTGTCATTTGGAATGGGATGTATGTCTATTATCTGTGATGTCGTGACTTATGTATTTACTGACACGCTAACCCCATTGGACAGTTTTGGCTTGTTTATTAATGGCTTAACTCTCTATGGGATTTCAATGTTATACAACCAGTCAGACCTGCTTTATCTATAGCTTAAATTCCTGAGAGTTTTGTAAATATCCAGTCGTCGTTTTTCTCAGTCTGAATTTTGTGTCTGTCTCACTGTAGGAGATAAGTTCAAGTAATCACTTAGTTACAGTATCGTGTTCTGAAGGCACATTCTAGCCAATTTCGAGGGACCCGCAACCATTCTATTATAGCAAGATGAAATTGAGTGACGATCAGGAGAGCCTTAGTGCCTACGGAACTGTGTTGACAGTCACCACTTCCTAATTGCCGACTTCGTGGAAGTTTATTTCTTCTTGGGGTACATCAGACAGATGGACCATTAGTACTGCGTGACCCGAGACCATAGGGAACAACAGCCTAAGGCCTGTGACGCACAATATATTCGAACTTGGTTTTGGAGTCGTGGCCCTATTGAAATCTCACCCCAGCTTTAGACTACCGCAAGGCAAGTCGGGATGTGCGGTTTTCAGGTTTGACCTATTCTGACACCCTCTCTCCAGAGTAATGAATCACTACAGCTGGCTTTATGGCCATCTGAAAGGAAAACCTTACTTCTACTACATGCCCATTCGCCTGCAATGTGACTGCGCACACAGACCTTCAACAAATGTGGAACAAATACACCATGATGGTAACTGCTTTTAGTCTAGTTGCGGTCTAAATGACCTACTGATATTGTGGGATTCTCAGAGACATCAGTTCCTGACAGTGAAGCTCACTGGATCATTGAAATATACGACCACTACGCCAACGTTGTAGATACCGGTCGAGATGCAGTTGATGCTCCGTCCCACTTATGTGAGCTTTTCAGCCACGCGCGAACCATCTATATTGGAGAAAACCACCAAGTAGGATAGTTGACCTTTTAATCGATATGCTCATATCTCACACCCAAAAGGTTATTCTGATAAAAGCGTGACTGGTCTCGCGCATGAAACAGGGAAACGGGTATAGGTGGGATGAAAAAGCCATGGAATTTGAAGATGTGATGTAGCAACCTCCTTCAACAGAAATCATTTAGAAAGAATCAGAGAAAACACTAACATGGTGAAAATTGTATTTACAGGTCTTTTGATATGCAGACGACAAAGAAATACGGAAAGACAAGAAAAATACTGAGCAGGGTACGTACTACGTGTTGGACTGAATATCACGGGCTGGAGTAATCCGTAACTGGTGGTCATCCATCGACAGATGATACATAAATCCAGACACTAAACAGCGTCAGAAATCATACATCAGTAACTGGAGGTGATGCTACAGCAACGTCACCCCTGTAGAAATAAAAGAATTAGCATTTGTATCTCAACCTAAGGAGTACTGTCCACTGGGTATATTTCAGAATTCATTTCGTACGATGTCACAATACAATTATTAAGTAGCCTTGTACTCACAATGGCTATATATACATATTTTCCTACCTATGTAGGACACACCAGTTGTACAGGCATGCATAAGCATTATTTACGTTACATGAATTTGATCTATGGTGAAATTACATGGTTGTTGTCCTCTCTGACATCAGTTAGTGAGTACAATCTGATAGGTAGTCGTTCAATGGACCACATTAAGAAATATAGAAATATTGTCTTCGCATTAACAAAAACACCCAAGTATGTTTTGTATAAATTACAAATATTTGGGAAAAAATAAAGCTCGAAGTCAATTCCTCCATATAACTTTGTTGTGTGCGGTATCGTATCTTGTTCTTGTTTTGTGTTCAAATTGGGTATTAATTTAAAATGAGTGATTTATTTTTATGATTTTGACATCCTTTTTATTGCAAGTAATACCAGATGTGAATTCAACTGAATGCAGATTAATATTGGTCATTGACAAGCAGATTTGTTTTACTGCACCCAAGTCAGCCAGAGCCCACCATTTGTCACTGCATGGTTGTTCCGTACAAGTTGATTAACACGTAGAAAGCTATATGTAAGCCATTTTAGATCATTGACAGTGCTTGAATAAGATGCCATACAGAGTCTTGTTATGGTGACAGTAGATTTCCTTAAGGATGCTGAGCCATTACTAGCCAAACCTTGAGGGATGATAAATGAGTAGGTGATTTCAATTGCTTCTCAGCTTCAATCGTTATGTAGATCAATGCAACTTCTACTACAAGGCAAATACAACAGAAGAGGCGAGCAAAAATGTACCATAGGGCAGAGAAAAAGTATGTGGAGTAACATATATGTTTATATTCGTTGTACATTGTAATCATGTACATAAGTTCTTATTATTGGCTGAAGAGGTATTCGGAGAGTTTTCTTAAGGCTGATATAAGGGCTTCATACAGGTGAAAGCTCTCCAGTAAATAAACAGACTGCGACTTGTATTATATAAAGATTTGACAGAACCGAAGGGAACGCACTAAAAAGAAGTTTGCACTACCCAGAGTCATAGTGGTAAACCCCTTAAAGCCTGAAAACACCCGAAGCTATTAGTGGTGGATGGCTTTCCAGATAGCTCACTGTGCAGTCTTATAACCTGAAGATCACCCCTTCTGGAATCGACCTGAGTGTGCACACGGATATCCTAACTGAACTTCCCGCAAAGCAGGACCCAGGGAGCGATAACGCTATTGTCAGCGAAAACTTGTCACGTACCCCTAAATTCTTAGTGGTGTAGTGCGAATGGACAGCATACCGACATCACAATATCCTATTAAATGTGGTGTTTAGACATGTAGCTAAAGCCTCCTATTCTGTCTCCTGAAATTCTCCCTTGGAATATCTTCACAGTAATCATCAAAAGATCATCGCTATCGCGGATTGCAACTTAACTGAAAACGATGAGCTCTTGCGAGGGCATGTCGTTTGTGCTTCAGGTGATAGATGCCCCGTGGGGTACCATATAATACCACTCTAAAAGCACTATTATTCCTGATCGTAATCACTGATCCCTCGAATGTATTAAACTGCCAGTGAAAAGTTATCAAACCTGTTAGTACCTGCGGTCTATCGTGAAGAGCTCCTTAATCGTCTAGAATACACATTGTCAAAGTTCGGTGGGTTTGTTTTCCATTTAAATGAAGACAAGTGTGAGTTCTTCGTGCCATCTATTAAATACCCCCGTTTTTGGTGAATAAATGTGGTCACTGGCCAGAACCGGAAAATAATGTACCCATTCAAAAGATGTCTACTACTCACAACACAAATACGCCGCATTCCTTTTTGGGGTTATTCTGTTTCTACAGTTCTTTTGTCCCAGAAATGCGTGGTTTTGGAAAACCATTGGATAGACTTTTGGAAAAAGGCGACGAATGGGATTGGTCGAGTGTGCGTTATCATGCATATTAGAATGCCAAGGAAATATTGCTCCAAACAGCAGAGGCTATTGCAATTCGCCTCAAACAACCAGCGCTCTGTGTCTAAAAGAAACAAGTCCAGCCCCTACTGCTGCCCTGGCCCTCAGCAGAGACTATAAACTCATGAATTTGTACTATTACCTTTCCTAATTCTTCTGACATTCAGTTTATTTTATGTTGATGCTGTTCAGCTGTAATTTATCAATATTATTGATTTGATGTTATTTAAACATTAATGTCGTTCATAAGACTAATTCATTCATTATATATAATTGTAGAGCCTGATGATGAATTTATCCCGCGAATATAGTAGCGGTACGTTCAACGTTTGCGTAACATTTTAGCTTGATTCGCTATATATTTCTATTTTAACTGTGAGACTCGCACAAGTGTTTCTCCAGTTCCATAAATTTAACCAATAACTCTTTCACTAATTAGTTATGGTTAGTCATACAAAAAAGCAACGAACTCAGTCACCTGTCAACGTGGTGACTAATAGTATAAATATGCTCGCAACGACGAGCAGCACAACTCCCACAAAGTATGGAAATGAGGCACACAGCTTGCCAACACGCCGCAAGCGTCGAGCTGCCGGTTCACTACCATCTACTATGGCTGAAACTGAGGGCGAAAACTTGCTGACAAACAGCAGTAGCATCGCTTCTACAAACTCAGCACTTGGTCCTGACATAAACCTCTTCACCTCACCCTGTGTACGTGTCACAAAACTTCAGATTCCAAGTCCAGCTCCAACACTTACCTCTGAAAGAGAACGACTAAAGCTGGCTGTAGAAGAACTGAAGACTGAGATGCGGGACATAAGGTGTAGAAAAGATATGAATGCAGGATTTTCAGAAAATTTGGCCAACTTATCTGAACTATCAACACAGGTTGGTGATATAAAATCACAGGTCTGTGAACTTGCCCCTCTGAACATCTTGACTAAGACCATAAACCCTGGCGAACTTAACACAGA